ACGGGAGACGGTTTCCTTTATGGCGCGGCATTAGCCGCGGTGGACACCAGTGTGATACCGGTGCGCGCGGCGGGATGGAAAGGGACACGCTGTGAGGGCCGCGGTGGGACCAGGCTCCCTCCCCTGGCTCTGCACCGACCCCTGTGGCCCTGTGGTGCTGCCGGTGCCTGGGGCCATGCGGGAGGGCCATGCCGGGCAGCGGGGTGCTCCGGGCCCCGGGGAGGCCGTGGGGCGGATTAGCCGCGCTGCAGCGCATCCGGCACTCCCTCTGCCGCAGATGCCCTCCTTTGTTCTCTCCCCGAGCCAGGGGAGATGCTCCAGCGCTTCCCTGCCTGCCGGAGAGCACCGCGGTGCCGGCCTGAGGTGCACTGGCATCCCTGCCTTCACCGGTGACACTGGGGCTGACCCCTGCCTGGCTGCTGCCTGGTACTGCTGCCTGTGGTTTGGGCAGCATCACAGGCATTTGGTAGCATCAGAGGCAGGCCTGGATGGACGGACGGATGGATGGCTCCTCCTGCGGCCATGCTGGTGTAACCATGGACTAGTGGTGGCAGGACACAGGGAAGGGGTTGAGAAGCGCAGCCAGTATCCAGCAAAACCTGGCAATGGAGGTAACACCTCTTGATGCGCCCATCACCAACCACCGCCATGGCTCCTGAATGGGAATGGCAGCCCAAGGCTGAGCCCTGCCATGATGGAGAGCATCCTGGAGCACCAGTGGGGTTTAGAACCATCAAACACAGGAGCTGGGAGCTGACTGTGATGGCAAAACCAGTCGTGACCTTCACCTGTCCAGCAAAGGGCTCATCTCAAGCAGCCGTGCTTCACTCACGACTGAACACACCAGCCTGGCTGCGTGGTCTGGCAGTGGGCAACCCTATGGCATGAGTAGAGGCCAGCCTGGTGCTGCGGCTGGGCAGGAAGCACATTTCTCATTGCCAATGGTTCCTAGGCATAGCCAGGGCCCAGCACGCAGGCTGGCACACGGCATAGCCCTGATATCACCTCTGCTGCTGTGCCGGCTCAGCACCAGCCCTGGCCCACAACCCAACCAGGGTGGAACCCAAGGGACAGGGCTGGTGCTGGGGCCGCTCCTCCCCATGGCCTCCCAGCCCTGCCGGGGCAGGAGGATGGGGGCACGGTACCGGTGCAGGAGGATGGGGGGCACGGTACCGGTGCAGGAGGATGGGGGGCACGGTACCGGTGCAGGAGGATGGGGGGCACGGTACCGGTGCAGGAGGATGTGGGCACGGTACCGGTGCAAGAGGATGTGGGCACGGTACCGGTGCAGGAGGATGGGGGGCACGGTACCGGTGCAGGAGGATGTGGGCACGGTACCGGTGCAGGAGGATGGGGGCACGGTGCCGGTGCAGCAGGGCTGACACTGCTGGTGGGTGCCTGGGCACGGTCCTGCAGGGGGGGCACGGCCGGGGGCGCAGGGAGCGGCTCCGGGGGCTCCGTGCTCGCTGTTCCCGGGGGAAGGGGGCACAGGAAGGCGGCGGCGGGGCCGGGCCCATCCCGGGGCCGCTCCGAGTCCCCGGGCCCGGCCGTGGCGGCTCCGCGCGCACGTGGCCGGGCAGGGCCATCCCCATCCGCCCCGCCCCCTTATCTCCCTGCGCTCCCATTGGTCTTCCCTTCCCCCTCCCGCGCTCCCATTGGCCACGGCTCCCTCCACAAACAAAGGCCAGCGCCGGCAGGGGGCCCGGCGCGCCGCTCTGATTGGTGGAGCCGCGGAGAGGGGGCGGGACGAAGAGGCGGGATAAAAGGCAGGCGTCAGAGCCGCTCCTGGTTCCTTATAAGGCGGTGGGCGGGGCGCGCCCATTCATGCGCTCAGGGACGAGGCGTTCCCACGGCGTAGTCCCGCCCACTCGGGGGCGGGGCTTGGTCCGTAGCTCGGTGCGGGCGGGCGCGGGCTGCCCGGTAGAGCTCGGCGCGGCTCCGTGCACACGGTACGTGCGGGCGGGCAGCGCGTGCAGGGGCGGGAGGGGCCGCATGGTGCGTGACACCCCCCCCCCCGGTGAATCCCCGGTACCGTGGGGCTGCGCGCGCCCCACGGCCCCGCGGGGGTTGTGCCGCAGCGGGGGGTGTTGGGGTCCCGTGCAGCCCCATGTGGGTCTGCTTTCCCCGCAGCCTGGGGTCACCGACCCCCAAAACCCGCCCTACGGCGAGCACCGGCTGCGGAGCCCCATGGACACCCCATGGCTCATGTGCCGGGACATTCGGGGGGCAGCCGGGGAGCCACCACAGCCCCTTGTGTGCCCCCAGCAGGGTGTGAGCTGTTGAATCCCCACCTGGGTCGATCCGGCGGGTGACTCGGGTCCCATGGCCCTGATAACGGCCATACATTGATTTCCATTTCCCATCCACCAGGTTCTCTCCTGACGCATGGGAATCCCAGCCCGCACCAGAGGTAGGGGCTGAACTTTAGTCTCTGAGCAATTAAGATGCCTGAAACTGCACTTCATTAATGGTTGTTATGCAATAAAACCGATAAAACTGCCCTTATTTGCAGTATAAAACCGCAATTTGTTTTAATTTATGTTTTTAAACACTTGCCGGGTTGTCCCCGGGCTCTGCCAGGGATCTGTCATCGGGGAGCGGGGTGTGGGCTCCCATGGGGATACTGAGCTGCACCCACCTCTGGGCGCTGCTGGGGGGGTCCTGTTTCTCCAGGACCCCTCGCCTGCTGTCACCTCCCTGTGATGCTGGTCTGTGGAGCGTGGCTGTGCCATGGCACAGCGAGGTGACAGCAGTGGATGGGTACGTGCCACTGAGCACCGCGGGTGCCACTGGAGGAAGAGGCTTCTCTTGGGGGGGTTACATGTGCCAGTGGTGCTGTTGGGGGCAGGATGGAGCCCACTCAGCCCAGGGGGTTGCAGGCAGCACCAGCCCCTGGTTTGCCCCATCGGTGCTGCTGTTTCGGTGGCCCCGCTCGTGGCGTGGGGCCGCCTCTGATCCGTTTATCCAGTAGCTGATGGGTTGCAGGCGAGCGGCCGCAGGTGGTTTGGATCACAGCGGGGCCGGGGACACAGCGATTGGAAACACATTGTCCCGGCACGCAAGGGGAGCCGGGCAGCGCCGAGCCATCCTTGCCCCATCCCAGCCACACACATCAGCATCCCCATGTACCAGTGACCCCTGTCAGTGCCTGCCACACCAGTGAGTGCTGGGGACACTGTGCCACCCGCTGTACCGCGTCCCTGAGCTCACTTACTGGTACTGGTGACATGCTTGGGTCTGCAGGGTGATGGAGCAGGGGCTGGTCCTGCTCCCACACGTTGGGGTCACAGCTGGTGGCTCTTGGTGCTTGCCAGGCCACTGGCTTTCGTAGGCAGAAGCCACCTGAGCCCTTTCCCAGCCAGTGCCGAGTCTGGGGCTGTGTAACATCGATTGGATAAACACAATTCCCCTCTAACTCGCTGCAGATGTCCCAGCACCACAGCAAGGTGCTCTCCCATCCCAGCATGGTGGGTCCTGACTGCAGCTCTGCCATCCCCTCTAAGTGCTCGGGCACCCATGGATGGGAGATGACTGGCCCCAGCCCCACACCAGCACCCACAACTCATGGTGAAAGGCTGTGGGGTGCTCCTGGCCCCATAGACATGTGCATGTGGGTTTGCACATGCATATGGAGGTGCCTGCACATGTGGGCATGCGGGTATTGGCACAGACCTGTGGGTCTGCGTGTGCATCTACACACGTGTGAGGTGAGCACATGTTTACACACTGCTGCAGGCCACCCCCCGTGTGGGGCCTGGGGCGGCTTCTGTGGGGCACACATGGCCCTCGCTGCGTGTCCCTGGATACAGGGGCTTCCCTCCCCATCCTGTGCCTGGGATCTGCTCCCTGCCTGGCGCAGGGAACGGGAGCGCAGCCGGCACCTGGAGGGAATTATCCAGGCGTGTTCACCTCCTGCAAACCTTTTGTCGGGCGAATTCCTGCGGTTCCCCATTGCAATTGCTGCAAATTATACAAGCGCCGCGTGCTCCATCCCAACGGGAGCGCGCCGTTGGTGTGCGCTGCTCCGAGCTGGTGCCGTGCGCGGCCCCACGAGCCTCCGGAGCCCCCCCCTGCCCTCCTGCTCTGCTCCTCCGGGAGCCCCTGGGGCTGGGTGAGTGACCTCGGTGGCTGTGCGGGTGCTCGGTGGGGTTTGGCACACGTGGCACCCAGCCATGGTGCAGGGCTCAGGGTGCAGCACCCATACACTGGTTATCTGCACCCCACAAGGCCCTGGGAGAGGGCCCTTGGGTGCTCGGACCCTCTGAATCCGTGTACATGTGTGTGTGCATGCGTGTTCATTTGCGTGTGTGCATGTGTGTGCATGCATGCACGTGCAAGTGTGTGCATTTGTGTACGCCTTTACATGCACCAGTATGCCTCTACGTGAATGCTCTTAAATGCATCTGAATGCCTTTGGGTGCATGTGCACGCATCTACGTGTCTTTATAGTCATGTGCATACATTTACATGCATTTGCCTGCCTTTACACATGCGTGCTTCTGCATGCACATGCATACCTCTGCATGCACATATCTGCATGCAGTTACATGCATCTGCATGCCCATGCATCCCTCTGCATGCAGTTACATGCATCTGCATGCCTTCACATGCATCTCCATGCCTTTACAGGCCTGTGTGCGCCTTTACATGCATGTCCTTACAGGCACGTGCATGCATCTACGTGCCTTTACACGCACCCGCATGCCTGTACACGCATGTGCATGCAGGCGCTCCTCCCCACGCAGTTACATGCGCTTCTGCATGCCTGCAGGCGCTCGGGGGTCCTCCCGGCCGCTGGGAGCGTCCCACCCGGCGCCGCTCTGCCCCGCTCGTCTCTGTGTCCGCCGCCGGAAGCGCCAACGGAGCAGCGGAAGCCGGAAGTGTCGCTGTGGCCGGTGCCGGCGGCGGGGCCATGGCGGGGGCGGGCGGGTGAGGCCCGGGGTTGAGGAGGAGGAGGAGGAGGAGGAGGAGGAGGGGGGGGGGGGGGTACGGGAGCCGGGCCATGGCGGCGGCGGCGGCAGCAGCGGGCTCCAACTGGGGCCTCATCATGAACGTGGTGAACAGCATCGTGGGGGTGAGCGTGCTCACCGTGCCCTTCTGCTTCCGGCAGGTGAGCGCGGGCCGGGCCGGGGATGGGTGCTGCGGGACGGAGCGGAGGCCTCTGGTACCGAGCTGCGTGGGTTTGGGTGTCCCGAGGGCTCCAGGTTGTGAGGGTGCTGAGGCGCTGGCACAGGGTGCCCAGAGAAGCTGTGGCTGCCCCATCCCTGGCAGTGCTCAAGGCCAGGTTGCACACAGGGGATTGGAGCAAGCTGCTCTATGGAAGGGGTCCCTGCCTGTGGTTGGAGCTGGAGGAGCTCTAAGCTCTCTTCAACACAAACCAGGCTGGGATTCCGTGATTTCTCCCTATTTTTTTTTGTGAGTAAAAGGCTAAAAAGAGGAGTTTATCCACGTGATGAATGGGTTTTGGCTCAGGCATTTTCAAACCAGCTGCACTTGCACTGAGCCCTGCTCCTGGAGCTGCTGCCATCCTGGTGGAAACACCAGGTTTGAATGCAGCAGGAGAAAGGGCAGCAGCTTTAAGATCTGGTTTAAAACTACCTGCTTGGAATGTGTCTGGTGCTTAGGACCCCCCTCACTGTGAACGCATGAGCCAGTGAGGTGGGACAGGGCTGAGGGTGAGCTCCATGGTTCTTCAACATCCTAAACAGTTTGTATATAATCAGCTTACAACAGTGTTTGCACCTCAGGATCAGGACCGGGCTGTGTGCTCCGAGCCTGCAGAGAGAGCACAGAGCGGGTGGAGGGAGGGAATGTGGAGGTTCTGCTCCATAAACGCTCCTGGTTCACCCCTCGGTGCCAGTGCAGCTGGAAGCTGTGGGAGGCAGGTGGCTGCTCTGTGTTGTCCTTGGGCTGTGCAGAGAGCAAACAGGAGCTGGCACACGTCCTGCTCCTCCTGCCTGCTCCCAGGCAGCAGCAGGGCTGGGACCTGTGTGGGAGCCTGCAGGTGAGGAGGGCGGCTCTCGGGCTGATTTTCCATCTCCTGTTGGTATCTTCCCCCCCTTTCTTCTCCCGTTGCAGTGCGGCATCATCCTGGGAGCTCTGCTCCTGGTTTTCTGCTCCTGGATGACTCATCAATCCTGCATGTTCCTGGTGAAATCGGCCAACCTCAGCAAGCGCAGGACCTACCCTGGCCTCGGTGAGCATTCCAGCCCTGCTGCTCGTCTGTCTTGGCGTTTAACTGCAGTTTTACTTGGACCTCCTCACTCACAAACTTCACACTGATGCTGTTGCAGTAGCACATGGTTTCCCCATCGTAGCCTTCAGTTTGCCTTGTTTTGCTCTGTCAGCCTCTCTCCATGTCCCCAGGGGAGCGCGAGGGCTCTGTTCTGCTCTTGCAGTGAAGTTAATGGGCACAGAATTGTTTTGACTCTGCAGGGCAGGGGAGGAGAGGCGGCGCCGGCTGATCCAAACCCAAGCTCTGGGAGCTGGCGGAGCCAGTGTCTGGAGTAAATTACTGGCCTGGGCATGAAAGCCACGAGCTTCCCCACCCAGTGTGCTGCCGAGGACAGCGGGTGCTGCCAGCCCGGAGCCTGGCATGGAGCTGGGGCCCAGCACAGCAGAGGAAGCGGTGCTCGAGCTTCCAAGCAGCCAAGGAAAGCAAAACATCTGCAGGATTCCTGTGGGGGGGTTGGGGCAGAGCTCGGCGGCAGCGCTGCTTGTGAGCTCTCTTGTGGTCCTGCCCGACTCGGGGGGACAGGAGGAGGTGATGGGATCCCAGTGCTCTCCGTTGGCTTGTGAAATGAGAGGGAAAAGCCTTCTTTTACTCGGTTTCCCTTATTTCTCTGGCGAGGAGGGAGCTGGCTGGCACTGCCCGTGGTGAGAGCGCTGCAGAGGCACATGGCTCGCTGTGTTGCTGACAGATGGGTTTCCTCCATCCTCAGACAGCCCGATGGGATGCTCCCGGGCTGCGTGCTTGGCTTCCGCCCAGTTGTATCTGCTCGAGACTGAAAAGATCAAGAAGCTCTGTGGTCTTGGAGGCTGTGCTGTGATGCTGGAAGGAAGGGGGAGCCCCCCAGGTAGCGTCTGACTTGGCCTCACCACTCTGGCCCAGCTGCCCCCTCACAAGAGGTCTTTGTGTGCTGCTTCTCCCAAGTACAGAAAGTCCCCTCCACCTTGGAGCGTCTCCCGGGAAGAAGGGATCCTCTGCACTTGGGAAGCCAAGGGGCTCGAATACACAGAGAGCCAGTAATGCCTCTAAACTTCCTGGCACCTCCTGGCACGCAAAGGCTGGCGCTGAAAGAAATGCCTCAGCTCCCTCCCTCTGCCCTGGGAGAGGTGCCACCGGGAGGGCCAGCCTTGGGAGGAAAGGCAGCGCTCCTATAATGCATCCTAATGCATCAAGGTTGAGCAGCTCCACACAGGCAGCCTTTGTCACCGTGGGCTTGCTCCCGGGTACATCTGCGAGAGCTCCTGGCAGCGCCTGCAGCCGAGCCTGTGGGAGGTTTTGGCAGCGCTCAAAGATGGCACCAAGGTTTGCAAATGCGCTTCAGGGAGGCAGCCCCTTCCGGAGGGATCCTGGAGCTCCGCAGGAGCCAGGCCTGCAGCAGGCTGGTGCCTGGCCCTGGCCGCACTGCTTGGCAGCGCTGGGTGCCCGAGGGCCTTGCGTGGCCGGGAAGGGCTTTGCGTGGCTCTGTGGACACGAAGGGAAGAGGTATGTGCTTCCCAGGCAGGTTTTAGCCGGGAGAGGAGCTGGTGCCTCCACCTGAAGCTGCCGAAAGCAGCGTGCTGGGTACTGACCCCGACAGCAGCCCGGAGGCAGCTCTGCTCTGCTCCCTGCAGGCAGAAGGGCCGGACCACAGGTTCCCCGTTCTAGTAACCACACTTGATGTAAATGGGCTTCTCTGGCTCCTGAGCAGTCAGCTCTGCCCAGCCTGCTGGGCATCTGGAGATCCCATTGCAAAGATGCTCCATTCATTCACACTCATCGCTTCCTTCTTGACAAGGTAGAAGCTCCGATTTCTCCAGCATCCCCAGGTGGGCACATGTACAACGTTTGGAGGCTTGCTCTCATGAGAACATCCCTTCAGAGCAGCCAAGGAGCCTGATTCTCCCCAGCCTGGGTGTAGCTGTACCTGGAGGCACACAAGGTGTCTCACTGATGGCCCACTCTCCTGGAGGGATGTTCTCCTCTTGCTGCTCTCTCTCTCATCCCTGCCCCTTTGGCTGTGTGAGCAAACCCCTTGAGGGCTGTTGCCTTTTCCTTCAGCAGTTGAGGTGAAGCCAGGCAGTGTGCCTGTTCCCCCAGCCTGTCACCCAGCCATCAGCTATTTTCAGTGCTGCCCCACATCACAGCGCTGGGTTATTTCCCTGCTGTGGGTCTCCTGCCATGCTGCTTGCTCATTCTGTGGGAGAACATCTTGTTTCCTTAATGTTTAGCTCGAGCAGAGTCCAAAGAAATCAAGAGTTTGTAAGTTAATATCAAAAACAGCAGAAGATGCTTCCAGAAGGGAATGAAGTTGGTTTTCTGGTGGCTGCAGGAATGCGTGTTGTACCTTGAGGGAGCACAAAGGGGAATCCAGGGTGGTGGTTTTCATGCTGGACCTCTGCAATGCGAGGCTGGCAGGATGGGGCACTGTGGTCTGTGTGTGCTGGAGGTTTCAATTCCCATTCTACCCAGTTTAGATCTAAAAATACCAGCAGAGTTTTCTTGGCATTTTCCTTTTCAGAAGAAACACAATGATTTAAAGCCGAGTGATCATTTTCTGCTACAACCCAAGTATGGGATGGGAGGAGGGGGGGGGGGAAAGAAGGTCTCTTGGCAGCAGCGCTTTGGTGTGGGCTGCGAGCACTGGGTATTCTGGGTATGGGATTGAACGTTCTGGGCACCAGCTCAGAGCTCCCATCCAGCAGCGTCAGGAGGTCCAGTTTTAGTGGGAAGATAAAAATAAAGATGGGAGTTTGATTGAGATTTTGCACTGCAGAAACGTTTCACCACACAGCCTCTTACCCAGGCACATTTCGCTGCCTTTAATGGTTGCCATGTGTGACTGCGACTTCACACCACCTCTTTTTACACATCCAAAAAGAACCTGCTTTCTATCTTTTCCTCATCTTTGTTCCTGTCTTATGTGGTTTTCAGTTCTCGGTCTGAAACAGCAAGTGGGAGGGCAGGCAAGAGAAACAGCCCCACAGCCCCACACCGGCGCCTTCCTGCTGTGCTGCCCTGACACTCTCATTGTTTAATATCAAACTGGACCTTTGACTAACTGCAACTCTTTTTTTGTTCCCTCTTACGCCAGCATTTCATGCCTATGGAAAAGCAGGAAAAATGTTGGTGGAAACAAGGTAATCTGCTGCTTATTTAAAGCATGAGCGGTTTGGTTTTCTTTAATGAATGAGGCTCCTCTGTAGCTTCCTGTGGCTTTGCTGTGCTCTCCTTTCGTACCCTCCTGCCTCCTCTGGTCCCAGAAGCCTTCCTTCCACCAGAATTTGCACAAGAGCAGAGTGAGATTCCCTAAGCACAGCCCACAGGTATTGCCTTCAGCGTATCCCACCCTGTTCCTGAGTGGAGGCAAGAGGGCTTTCCACTGGGGAATGGATGCTTGAGGGGGAGGGAAATCCTGTCCCTGTTTCAGGACAGGCTCCTTGGGACATCCTCAGAACTCTTTGCTAGAGGTGTCTTGAGCCCCAGCCAGTGAGTAGTGCTGGCTCCTTCCCTCTTCCCAGCTCCAAACTGCTGCACAACACTAAAAATACACGGAATACTTCTCAGATGTTACTTGCCCGTGCAGGCAATTGCTGTAATTGCCACGGGGATGTTATAATTGGAGCTGGGAGGGAAAGTGGCCCATGCAATCATGAATGGGAGGAGAGGCAGCTCCTAAGACAATCTTTTCATTAAAGTGTGGTGCATTTTGTGGGAAGAAGTTTGAGAGCTGAGCTGGGATTTAGGCTTTCCTGGTAGCCGCTGCGGCGGGGCGTGGGGCTGAGAACCTCTCGCTCATTCTTTTAAATGCTTTATTTTCCAAGAACTAAAGGAATTTTTGCCATCTCCAAGGTTTGTTTTGCTGTGGCTCCCAGCAGCAGATAGCCCCGTGCATGGGCTGTTGCCAGAGCTACGTCTCTCAGCAGGATGGTTGGGGAGGATGGAGCTCCTCTGGGTTTTATTCTGCTGGGGTTGAAGCAGAAGCAGTGGCTCTTCACAAGGCTGAGGATCAAAGTGTGGTCCCCCCTTCAGCCCCAGCAGCGATGCACAGGCTGCTCATACAGCTGGGGGAGCAAACTGCATCCCTGTAGACAGAAACCCTGCATCACTGCTGGCTGCCAAATGTGTTCTCAAGGTGGCTTCAGCAAAACCTGTGGCTTGTGTTGGAGGGTGGGTGTACCCCAGAGCAAGGGATGCTGAGGCTGCTGCACCTCTGAACACGAGTGGCGGCACAAGATTTAAATTGCTTTAAATGATCCCTTCTAGCTGCTAAGTCCTATGGATGTTCCATCATCACAGGCTCAGTTACAGCCCTCCCAGGCAGTGTCTCCAGCTCTCTGTTGCCTTAGCACTAACAAAGCCTCCTCCTCCTCATGAGTACAGATCCAGTGGGAATGTGGCAGCTGACATGCACGCCGGAGCAGGAGCTGCATGCCAGGGTTCTGCTCCAGCTCCTGACCTGTGTGTCTTATGTTGCTCTTGCAGCATGATTGGGCTGATGCTGGGAACCTGCATCGCTTTCTACGTGGTCATTGGTGATCTGGGCTCCAGCTTCTTCGCCCGCCTGCTTGGATTTCAGGTGAGTAAATCCTCACTGGATCACCTCCGCAGCACAGATAGTGGTCCCAGTTCTTCTTGCATGGAGCTACATGGGCCTTTGACACAGCAAAGGGTGTCCTGCCTTGGTAGCATCCTCAGCAGCCCATGAGATGTTGTGGGGTCAGTACGTGGTGAGCTTTAATGGCAGAGCCTTGTGCAGAGAGCCTGGAGCTCTGGAAGGCCTGGAAGCCCAGACATATGGTGAACAATCAGATGTGTAAAACCTCCAATGAGGCACTTCCAGCAAAGGAATTCTTTTTAACTCGGTCTCTTAATTCTGGAGCAGATTCCTGGGGGAGATGGTGCTTCCTGTCATAATTCCTGCCCCAACATGCAGTGACAGACGATTCCTCTGCCCAGGCTCTCACCCCCTCGCAGCCCTCTGGCTCAGGAGGGATTTCTTGTCCTGTCCCTTGCTGTTCTGTTGTGCCTGCTCCTCTTTAAGATCAGATAAGGCTGGTGTTGGCTCAGCACACACGGCAGCAAGAGGTGCTCCTCCTGGGCAGGAGGCTCTGCTGCTGCTCCTGCAGAGCTGTGAGCCAGGGTGTGAGCGCTCGGAGCCCTGCACGGAAGCAAATGGACATGTGGAAGGGGTTTTGGCTGTTATCTGCTCCTCCTGATGCTGCTAAGCTCCGATTAAGGGGCTATGAAGTTAAAAAGATGCGTTGTGGCTGCAGCCAAATGAGGTATTAAATATTTCCAAGCATTTTGGAGTGTTCTGCTATAATAAATACCAGTGTGAGGTTTTGATTAATTTTCTGGGTTGGAATTTTGAAGTCTTCAATCTCCTATATCCCAATTAAGTTTAGTTTTTAGTAACTGCATGAAATCCCTAAATAGCTTGTGCTGGATTAGCATTTAAACACCACCACCCCCCCAAATACTTCCACTTAGGATGGATCTGCATCCTGGCTTGTACCAGCAATAGTGCAGCCAGCAGGACCAGGGCAGGGATTGTCCCTTGTACTCATCCCTGGTGAGGCCACATCTCAAATCCTGTGTTTGGGCCCCTCACAAGAGGGACATTGAGGTGCTGAGAAGGGCAGCAGAGCTGGTGCAGAGCCTGGAGCACAAGTCCTGTGATGAGCAGCTGAAGAAACTGGGGTTGTTCAGCCTGGAGAAAAGGAGGCTTAGGGGAGACCTTAATGTTCTCTTCAAGTACAGGCCAGGAGGTTGCAGTGCGGGTGGGTCGGTCTCTTCTCCCAAGTCACAAGTGATAGGATGAGAGGAAATGGCCTCAAGTTGTGCCAGGGGAGGTTTAGGTTGGAGATTTGGAAGAAGGGCTGGAACAGGCTGCCTGGGGCAGTGCTGGAGCCGCCATCCCTGGAGGGATTTAACAGTGTAGATGTGGTGCTTGGGGACCTGGGTTAGTGGTGGGCTGGGCAGTGCTGGGTTAATGGCTGGACTCTTTAAGGTCTTTTCCAACCTAAACAATTGTGTGATTCAGTGACCTGTCACGCACTGTGCAGAGCAACAGTGGCACCCAGTGACTGTGTGAGCTAATCACAGACCTAGCAAGGAAACGGCAGCACTGAGTCTTTCAATACCTACAGAAGCAGAACCTCACCTCTGGAATCCACCCTGGCTTTGCACTGCTCCTCACACTGGAAGGATCAACCCTGTTGGGGTTTGGGGGGTGCTCTGAGTATCCCCCGTGCTCCAGTTCTTCACACAGGTCCCTTTTCCAGGTGTCAGGCAGTTTCCGGATAATCCTGCTCTTTGCTGTCTCCCTCTGCATTGTGCTTCCCTTGAGCCTCCAAAGGAACATGATGGCCTCCATACAGTCCTTCAGTGCCATGGCTCTCATCTTCTACACGGTGTTCATGTTTGTGGTCAGTATGGACATGGGGAATGCTGTTTTCCTGGTGTTTGAACACAGATATTCCCACTGGAGCAGCCTGTAGGTGCCAGCCTCAAGTTTAAAATGTCCTTTCTGATAATGAGTGCTGCTGGTGCTGGGTATCACAAGTGATTGGGGTGCCCATGAGCTGGTGGAGGTGGGGAGGTGCAGCCTGCAGAAGCTGGCCAGTGGGCCTGTAAGCCGTTACGCCGCGGTGGCACAAATAATAAGAAGCCACAAATTGAGTTGTGGTTTGTTCTGCTTGTTGGTGTCTTATAATTTAAGGCTCTGAACTTGGAATCAAAGGATGGAAGATGTGGGGAAGAGTGCCTGGAACCAGAAGGACTTTCATCATGTGTTAGTGTTTGGCCTTGAAAACCTCAGTGCTTCTGATGTGTAGGGGGAAGGCAGCTCTCGTTAAGGACTCAAACGTGTACTTTGCATGCTTCTCTGCAACTGATGGTTAATGGCTTTCAGGCTGCAAATTTGATGTTAGACACCAGCATTGAGTGCTTCATAAAGCCTGCAGTCTGGTACGTGGCATAGGCTTGTGCTTGGATACATCTAGAAAAGGGTTTTATTGCTGAGGTGAAGGATTCTTGACCATTTAGGTTAAGTAAGGTAAGGTGAATGTTACCTAAAGCCAGCCCTGTTTAGCTTGGCCAAGCCCCATTGCACAGCAGCGTTCACTGAGAGCTGGAGACTCTCATTTGCTTTTTAATGACTTCAAGTCTCACCTCACACATGCTCATGTGCTTTGCTCGTGGAGCCCCAGCCCTGTCTCCCCCAGGTTTCAGGACTGGGATGGCTGCAATAAAGGGAAGCAAAGGGAGGCATGGAATTTCTTTCCACTTCACTTTTCCTTAGCAGGTTGTGCTGGGTCAGGCTCCTGAGCTGCCCTGTGGGGAGGCTGGAATGGTAACTGGGTGTTCACACGAGAGCTGTGTTCCAGGAGTTGTGCCTTTAAGAAAACCACAACACTTTGTGAGAGTTGGCCGCACGAAAGCGTAATCTCTGGGGATTAGAAAACCCCCATTCAGGGGATATTATAAACAGGCATTCAGACGTATTTACCTTCTGTTTCCTGTGCAAGCCAGTGCTGGCCAGTTTCCCTGTCAATGGCAGAGGAACTGCCCTGGTCTCGCCTGGGTGCCTCGCTCCCCCTGTTTTCCTGCAGTTTATCCTTGGCTTTGGTGAGCTGCTGGTGTTAAACAGCTCTGGAGCAGCAATGTGCAGGTGGGGCTCTGTTGGAGGGGCCTTTGTCTCCCTCCTGTGCACAGGATTCTCCAAGGCAGATGTTGCTTCCCGTTAGGATTTAACAACTCGTTTTATAAAGTGCAAAAGAAAGGGCTGGGGGCAATGCGATTCTCCCAGTGAAATGTGTCAGTGGGGATGGTCCCACCCTGGTGTGTGCTGGGATGTCTGACAGCAGCGAGCAAGGCAGGGAATGTCATAGATCTGAATCCACCAGCAGCACCCTGGGTGGCAGGGGGCCCTTGGGGCTTGCTGGGAGCTTTCATTAAGCCTGTGGGTGGGGTGGGAGTTTGACTGCAGGGCTGGGGCTGTGGTGGGCAGTGTGAGCTGCTCCTCGCAGAGCTGCCACGCGCTGCTCCACATCTCCGCTGCTGGGGGTTGGTTTGGGCTTGGCTCTTACCCCCCTTTCCTTCTCTGGCTGCAGATTGTGCTGTCGTCCTTCAAGCACGGCCTCTTCAGCGGGCAGTGGCTGCAGCGAGTGAGCTACACGCGCTGGGAGGGCATTTTCCGCTGCATCCCCATCTTTGGCATGTCCTTTGCCTGTCAGTCGTAAGTACCTGCTGCCCCTGCTCCTGCTCCTGCACAGTGAGGTTTTGGGGAGGGCAGAGGGTCACCAGGATTGATACCATCTGGTTTCCTCGTGTATTTTAATCAAAATCTCTTACAGCCCACTGAAGTACAGCATCTCGTTCCGTTGTTGTTACCTGCATGGGGGAGGGAGTTATGTTTCCCTTGGGAGTTGTTGTATTTGAGATCATTGGGGCCAGACAGATCCTCGGTGTAACACACGTTGCTTCTGGTACAGCTGCATCAGGGATGAATTTCCCTTGTTCCTCCAAGGGGCTGATTTAGTAGCAGGCCAGGCAGTGGGGCTGTGTCCCTGCAGGGCAGCGTGTGCTCCTGCCTGCTCTCTGCTTCCCCAGTCCCTTTGAGAGACCTCAGATCACACAGAGGTTGACTTTGGAGACTTGGTCATGTGTTTCCAGTTACCTGCTTTTAATGAGGGCTTCCAGCGGCGGGTGGAGGGATGTGCCGGCAGAGCAGGCTGTTTGCACGTGTCCTGCAACGTTACCTTCTGCCCCAAAATGGCAAGAGAGCAAAACGTGCCTGGCCAGAACAGTGCCACACTTGAAACAGAAAAGTAACTCCAAATGTGGACAGGGAAAAGAGCATCCTCGTTTGGAAGGCTGGCAGAGTTGGGCTTTCCCCCCTGTAGCTCTAGCAAAGAGGTAGCATTGCCAACAGTAAATGAATGTGACAGATAAAATTTGCTCAGACTGCTGTGTTTACACCCACATGCGAGTTCCAAATCATCATTTTCCACTTATTGGCTCTCTTGGCAGCTCGGTTCCTACCCGAACACGCTCCAGTCTTGCTGTTTAATGTCTCCATTACAACTGGCGAAGGGAATTGTGTTCATTTGCGGCTTTACCTTGTTAACGTTTTAGAGTTTGTAAATTCCACTGTTTTTTGCTGATGGGAGCCACGCAGTGCCCAGCATGGTTCTGCTGGGAGCTGGAAATGCAGGGGAAGAGTTAGGTGTGGACCAGTGCGCGCTTGCCTACATACAGGCTCCACTACAGCACTTCTGTGGCAAGCTGAACCTAAAGCTATATGTTTTCCCCAAGCATCGTGGCAATACAGTGTCCCCAGCCCAGGCAAGGTTTCTAAGCAGGTTATTCTCAGCGAGGTAGGTTTAATTTTGCTAACCTCTGAACCACCTTTCTGAAAGAGGAATAGTTCTGCCATAAAGCAGGAATCCTTTTCCTTCAGCACATAAATGCAGCACACATTTGATTCGAGCACTGTGCTTCTAGCTTGAAAAACTTGACCCTGCTTTACTTGTGAGTACAATACCTTTGAAAAGCTATCCTGTTGTTGCTGAAGTTGCAAAGTAGGTCACTCCTTTACAGTTATGTAGCATGGAAATCTGCTGTGGAGATTGGGAGCATGAGGGCTCCACGGTTACCTCTGCTGCAGTCCACTCGTGTGACCTTGCTCAAGCCACTGAAGCCTCTAATTAAAGAGGAGCCGGTAGAGCTTTCCAGGAGAAAACTTGTTTCTGGAGATGGCCATTCTGGTGCAAAACCACTGAATAATAAAAGTCAGCTGTTGTTCATGGTTCTGAAGCATCAGTTCCCTGCAGGCTGCGTCAGTGCTGGGCTCACGGAGCGTGTACATGGTGGTCCCGACAGTGGAGGAGCAGGACAGCAGCTCTGAGTTAGCTCTGGTCAACTGTGAAGCCAGGCTGCCTCTAACACTTGTGCTGACTTGCCTGCTCTCTGCTTGTGCCCTCTTTGCGGTGCAGTGTAGCAGATAACATGAGGAGGGGTCCCTGATCCTTCCCTGCAGTCGTTGTGCTTAAAAATAAACCCTGGGCATGTCAGGACATGCTGCCTGTGGCACACTTGTCCTCCTGCTCTGCCTGGAGCAGTGGTGGTGGTCAGTCAGGTGATTGCAGGAGGCTTTGCAGGGCACTTTTCCTTTGTACAGAACCCTCTGACATGAAGGGATTAAGGTTTAAGGATTTTTGTGCTTGGCCTCAGCTTGCCACGCTTTCTGTTAATGGCTTTGGTGCCCACTGGAGCTGGGGATACCCCCTCCCATCAAACTGGGCGCTTCCCCCTTTCTCAGAGTTACTTCACTGACACGAAACCACTTGAATTGAAGTAGTAAGAGATTAATGAGTTGCTAAAATGTGCACCTGATGTCAAAAAGCACATTCCAAGCATGTGGACGCCCCAGATCCCGGGTGATGGGTGCTCCCATCCATGAAGCCAGCCTCAGCAGCAGCAGCAGCAGTGCTGAAACACGACAGGCGCTGCATTTCCTTCTGTTTGTTGAACTTCTCTTTTAGACACGGTGATGCTCTAACCTTCTTCCTGCTTTTACTCTGTAAACACTGCGTTGCTTTAATTATCAGCCTTGGAGAGCTCCAAGAACAATAATCTCCAGTGCTCTGCCTGGCCTGGAGCCACTGGTGTTCCACTGGAATAAACGGTCATTCATTGTGCAACACTTTTGAAGCAAAATGTTTACATCACACGTTCAGCTCCACGTGGTGGGGTGGGGAGAGCAGGAGTATTTTTGCAACACTTAAAAGTTATGAGTGTTCTGAAATCTCTTGGCATTAGCAGTATAAATTGTGGCATAGCAGCGAGTGTTTATGCTCCATAGGGGGAAGGTGTCAGGGATTCGTTGCTGCTGGGCTGAGGCAGGATGTGCTGGAGCTGGGTTTTTCTCTCTCTCTTTCTGCAGAAGGCTTCTTTAAATAATTTACCCTTTTCTACAGTCAGGTCTTGCCTACCTATGACAGCTTGGATGAGCCGTCTGTTAAAATCATGAGCTCCATCTTTGCTTCTTCCCTAAACGTGGTCACCACCTTTTACATCGCGGTAAGAACCTTGCCCTTCTCTTTCCCTGCCAGAAGTCACACTCTGGAGAGGCAATGGGGATGATGATTTATCTTCAGTTGGGGCTGGTTTCTGCTTATCTGTATTTATTCTGAAAGACAAGTTGTTTTGCTGAGAGCAAAGTTAGATGGGAGATGAGGAACCAAAGAGTGCTGGAGGCATTTGGAGACTCCACATTTTCAGCGTGGCACATTTCCTTGGGTGGAGGTAGAGTGGAAACCCAGCTCCTCCATGGACATCAGTCCATTGTCTGCTTTCCAGGACCCAGACTGGAGCTGGAGGTGCTGCCCAGAGTTCAGGAGAGCTTCTTTTTCATGCCATTGCAGTTAGAAAGATGTGAAGGAAGTTCTGCCTCATAAAGCACCAGTTAATAAACTGGAGTTAATAATTCCTGAGAAGAGCCTTGCCTGGTGAGCTGGGCTGCTGTGGGGAATCATTGCAGCCCCTTCCTTGTTGGCGGGGGCTGGTTCATTGTCCTGGCACTGAGCAGAGCGTTGGTGCTCCCTCACTGCAGCATCCTCCATGAAAGCCCCCTGTACTTGGTGAGAAACTTGCCTCTGCTTTTAGGAAGGCCCCACCATACATCAGCTGTTTGGGGGTGCTGCAGAAGGTGGCCCCATGCTCCCTCCTTGACTGGCTGGTCCTAACTTAGGGGATGTCACTGTCTTCCAGCCTTGGGAGGGCAGGTATGAATGTGCTTTGGAGTCAAACCCCATCGACTCACCTCCCCTTCTGCCACACAGGTGGGCTTCTTTGGCTACGTGAGTTACACTGAAGCCATTGCTGGGAACGTCCTAATGAACTTCCCTTCCAACCTCGTGACGGAGATGATCCGAGTGGGATTCATGATGTCAGTAGCTGTGGGGTTTCCCATGATGATCCTGCCGTGCAGACAGGCTCTGAACACCCTTCTCTTTGAGCAGCAGGTAAGAACCTCCTGTGTGGGCAGGAGCAGCTTGGTGTGCACCTCTGAAACGTGCTTTTTGACTCTGCCTTCTGCTGCTGACCTGGGCTGCAAACGTGCCTTGGGTCTGTGAGACTGACAACTGCCTGTCTCTGACTTGGGGTAGGTACTCACTGTGCAGAGGGACAAACCTTCAATTCCCACTAAGATCATAGGTGCCTGGGATGTGGTAACGGTGCAGCAGGAGTCCTGTGGCACTCTGTGACTCCTGCTCTGCAGAATGGTGAATCTCTGGTACTCTGAGGTCCTTGTCCTCTCTGCAGAGGAATTCCATGGGCAGCAGTGCTGGAGTTGTGAGTCTGGTGCCTGCTCTTGCTCTGCTGCTCCCCAAGTCCCATAGCTGCTGCTTCCCTTCTCCAGTGGGGATTTTGGCTCTCGTGCAGAAGTGTGACACAGTTCAGAGCCGAGGTGCCTCTCCCTCTCAGAAAGAGGGAGAAATGTGCTTTTGGAAACAGAGGAGCCTCCTTATTTCCTGCTGCTCCAGCTGGCATCCTTTAGCTGGCCAACTCAATCTTGCTTTGCATTTAGCTTAAGCTTCTGTTCCTGGCCTCAGAGCTCAGCCCAGCCTCATTTCTTCTTGCTTCTGTGTGTGCCTGCTCCTTTCTGCTCTGTAATTACTGCTCTCACCCTTGCACCTTCGTCAGGAGCCCCCTGAGCATCCTTCTCCCCTCTGGGTTCAGGTGTCCCCTTCCTCCCGTGCCTGCCCTGGCTGTTTGGTGCCGAAGCTGATGATGGAATACAGCCCTCTCCCACACGTTCACCTTTCCCAGGGTCAGATCTTCAGACAGCCTTTGTGACTATAGTTGGTCTGTCTGATTTAGACTGTAAGTCCCTTGTGGCAGTAGCGTGTTCTCCTCTGTGTATTGTACGGCACTAAGCATGCCGATGGTATTCAGTAAATAACAGTAAGAGATTGTGGGAATGTTCTGAGGCCTTTGTGTATCTGCATAAATAGAAACCTCTTAGGGCAGGAAATAAAACTTGAGCAATTTATAGCTCTAAATCCTGCCACTTCTGCCTGTGAGAAGCCCCCGGCTCTTTTCTCACGTCGGGAGGGCCTGAGGATGGGGGAAGCTGGATCGATGAAAGCCAGCGGGTGCAGAGCAGTGAGCATTGGAAATGCTGGGGAAGGCTTTGGTTCTTGCCTGGGCTCAGCTCCGTGCTCCTTGGGCTCTGAATGTGTCACTTCTGCTTTCCTCTCCCATCTGTGCAGCCAGGAGAGTGGGTACCCCCTGTTCCCCAGGGCATGTGTTTGCTGGGTCCTCTGCACTTCCCACTTGGAGTGTGGGGATGGGATGGGAAGCAAAGGGCACCCGGAAACCCTCTGGCATCAGCAGCTCCCCAGCAGCACCCATCCTCCTCTCTGCCATCCATCAAGTACATGTGCTGCAAGGTGGTGGTGTTGGGGGATACCTTGCCGTAGCAAATCCCTGTGACCACTCTCCCTCCTGCCTCCTCAGCTGCTTTCTCGTGCCCTTGGCCTTGGGGTGGCTGGAAGAGGCTGGGCACTGGCACAGGGACTGGGATACAGCTGCACAGGTCACATCTGGGGCAGGATGGGAGCAGCAGCTTTGGCTCTGTGCCCCCCATGGCTCTCACTTGGAAGGTTCAAATGCAGTTGCATGTTAAAACTGCTCAGCCATGTCTGAGTGCCCCCCCCGTGCTCTCCTCTCTGGAGACCATAGCATGGAGGTGGTGAAGCTGCTGGAGCCTGCTGGGGTAACTGCTTAGGACTGGGCGGTTGTGATGCAGGGGCTCAACTCGGTTTCCCTCTCCCACCTTTTCCAGCAGAAAGACGGCACCTTCGCTGCAGGGGGTTACATGCCCCCGCTGCGGTTCAAAGCCCTGACACTGGCTGTTGTGTTTGGAACCATGGTAGGAGGCATCATGATCCCGAATGGTGAGTGAGGAGCTGGGAACAAGTTGTCTTGGCTGTGTTCTCTGCTCTCTTTGCTTTGTTCTTCTGTTGGGGGGGGCAGGCTGTCTGGGGGCTGTTCCAGCAGCCCTGGATGGGACCTTTGCTGACTTCTCCTCTTCTTCACCAGTGGAAACCGTCCTGGGCCTGACGGGTGCTACGATGGGAAGCCTCATTTGTTTTATCTGCCCAGCCCTGATTTACAAGAAGATCCACAAGAATGCACTTTGTTCACAGGTCAGTGCTGATGCTGCTTGACATCCCCCTCAGCCCTCTGCAGAGCCTGGGAATGTAGGTAATTTGGCTGCTCAGCACCTCCTCCAGCCTCCCCCTCCAGTCTGCCCAGTCCAGGTGGGAGCTGTTCTGGTCAGCTGCTCTCAAGCAGTGTCACTTATGGAACCCTTTAGGTTGGAAAAGACCTTTAAGATCATCAAGTCCAGCCATTCCCCCGGGACTAAAGGGTGTGCAGACAGCAGAGGAGGTGCTGGCCCCAGTGTATGGGCCCTATGCTGAAAAAAACCTCTTTTTGTCCCTCCAGCAGCAAAGTGAAGCATTCATTTGGTGCATAAAATGCTGCTTCTGGTGGGCTTCAGGTTCTGTACCCACAGAATGGGAAATCCAGGCAGCCTATAAAACCTTGCTGGGCCTTAACATCCCAGCCTGCCTGGGCTGGGTAAAGCAAACACAGCTTCTCAGCGGTGCGGTTCGTGCTGCTGACCCTCAGCCCTGCTTTGAACCAAAGTACTCATAAAAGGGAACACACACGGAGGTGTTGCTCCAGGATTTGTACAAAATCGGGGTCGTTGGGAGCCTGGTAGGAATTCAGCTTTGCCTTTTGCTCCAGTTCCAGTCGGCCTCCTTGGGGACTGAAACAAAGTGGCTCTTTGCTGGGCTTGCTCTCTGTTCTCCTGCAAATGCAGCGCTTTGTGGGGCTGAAATGAGCGTGTTTTGGGGTTGTTTTTTTTCTAACAATAACTTAATCCACTGCCTTTTAGCAGGGCTCTGCCCCACTGTTACCAGGCACGACAGCGCTGGGCTGGGAATAAGGTTTGCAGCAAAGTGCAGAGTCAGCAGGGGGAGAGCAGGACATTCTTGTGGGTCCTCCGGAGCGAATGGCTTTTTCTGTGTTCAGTGACTTGTGGCTTTGCAAACGTCCGTGCAGGTTTGGAGCAGGGTGTGTATTTTTTCTTGCCCCGTGCTTTCTGTGACACAAGGAAAGAGTCCAACTTTCCAGCTCTCACTCGGAATTCTGACACTTGGCTCCCAAGTTCTCTGCCTGAACCCCCAAGCAGGAGCCGGAATGCCAGCCTGGAGCTTGTAGGGAAACAAAGAGCACTTTCAAGAATCGCTTTCTGTTCCGGCTCAGCCAGAATGTTTCTCTGCAGTGCCTTGAAAACTGCACTTGGGATGTGCTGAGCTCTTGGGCTGGCCACCCCGAGGCGACTGTCAGCTGCCTGGGCTTGGACACTGGTGCATTCAGTGTGTGACCTGAAGTCTGGTCACGAGGCTGCTGAAGATGTTTGTCCTGCAGGAAGCCCCACAAAGGAGTAAGGACTTATCTAAAGCATCGCTCCCTAGGTTACCCTGGCACTGCAAGCTCTTCAGCCTTCTCTTGAATGATCCATTGCCTGTCAGGTTTGCATACTTGCTCTGACCGATGCGCTGAAGTGCTGCACCCAGGGCGCAGCTGCCTTGGGGAGCATGCGGGACTGTGCAGCACCTATGGAGCTGGATTCAGAGCCCACCTTCTCCTCCTTCCTCCAGGCCTTCAGCAGACTCATTTATTTTTTTTCCCTGAAGCTCTGTCTTTGGTCTCCTCCTTCATTCCTGCTTTTCTTTGATCAGGTGCTGCACTCCATCAAGCTATGCTCCTGTGAAACGTGGCAGTCAAGGGGGAGAAGAAGCTAGCCCTGGGCATAGCTGTCCCTCCCTGCCTTTCCCTATCTAAACAACATACACGTATGTTCTCCCTCCATCCCTCCATCATCTTTAGCTCTTTGCAAAGCAGCAGACCTCCTCAAGGCCAGCTTTTATGCTTGCCTGAATTATCTTGACTGTTATGGTGATGCTTCCAAGAACCAGCTGCTCTTATCAGGCCAAAGCAAAGTCCCGTGTCAGGCAGCTTACGGGGCTGGCGAGATGGGGAGCTCAGATTTACCGAGCAGGGAAGATGGTGCAGGTGGGGCTGTAAACAGGAAAGTAGCACTAAAAGTAGTGGAAAGGGCTCCAGGGGGAGGGATATGGGCAGTCCCAGTGGGTTAATCATTACAGCGGCCAGGCTGGGGGCTGACTGGCTTCAAAGTCTTGTTGCATTGGGAAGATGATCTGGTAACAGAGGAGTTAAAAAGGCTGAAGCCAGGCAGGCAGTGCTGTGAATGAAGTGGGGAGAGCGTTCCCTCTCTGGTGGTTAAGCACAGAGTGTGTTCCCCTAAAGGTGCAGGTTTGTGCCCTGCTGCCCTCCGGGAGCCTCGAGCAGGGGGGACAGAGCGAGGTTTGGCGGAGAGCTGCTGAAGGTCGCGTCGAGGTCTGTAAACAGAGTGTTTGACTTCCAGCAGGAAGGTGTTGGCTTCCCAGTGTTGACACAAGCTTGTCCGAGAGGCCCCTCCTAGGGAGGCCGGAGTGGCTGTTGTCCCAGTTGGGGAAGAGGAGCTGTGGAGAGGCTGCTCCAGGTCAGGAAGTGACCCCTGGGTCTCGCTCCTGTGCGGATGGAAAAGTGATTCCCCTCTGCCCTCCGCTGGCGGAGCCGTGGCCAATGCACCTTCCCCACCGGCCCTTCAAACACAGCACCTCTGTCAGGCGCAGCGCAGCAGAGGAGCCCGGCACTGACCGGGGCTCTGCATTCCTTTCCCCTGACTGTGTCCAGCCCAGCTCCGAGGCCAGAGCAGCGCAGCTGGGAGGGCATCATCACTCCACACTAATGCAGGGGTTTTGCCTCCTGCTGATGGCCCAGGCGTGGTGTGAAGGGCTGGTGGGAGCTGGGAACGCTGCTGTGCAGAGCTGGAGCTGTCTGCTGGGAGGAAGAGGAGCTGAGGGAGAGGAACCAGCAGAGGAAACAGCCGCGTAAACTTCCTCTCCTGAGTTCCTGCCCGAGCTCGGAGCGCTCCTCTCGGGGCACTGGCCCTCAATGGCTGACCTGCCTGCTGGGGGGGCTGCAGCACATCCTCATTGGGAGCTGCTTCTGGAGAACGAGAGAATCCCAGCCTGGGTTGGGTTCGAAGGGACCTTAAAGCTCCTCCAGCTCCAACCCCTGCCACAGGCAGGGACCCCTTCCATAGAGCAGCTTGCTCCAAGCCCCTGTGTCCAACCCGGCCTTGAACACTGCCAGGGATGGGGCAGCCACAGCTTCTCTGGGCACCCTGTGCCAGCGCCTCAGCACCCTCACAGGGAAGAGCTTCTGCCTAAGAGCTCATCTCAGTCTCCCCTCGGGCAGGTTAAAACCATTCCCCTTGGCCTGGCCCTACAGGCCCTTGTCCAAAGCCCCTCTCCAGGTTTCTTGTAGCCCCTTTATGCACTGGAGCTGCTCTGAGGTCTGCAGGTACTCAGCTGAACGTGTCTCAATGAAATTAAGCCACATTGTGCACCTCCTTATTGCCAGCTGCTGGTAGTGGGTGAGGAAGAGTTGTGCTGATGTAAGGCTGAAGGTTCAGGGACACCCCAGCCCGTCTCTGCCTGCCACGTCTGCCCATACCCATACTCGTTTGGAGATGAACTCCGGACATGAAACAGTCCAAGAGGGTTGAGTCGGAGGTGTTCGAGCCTGTGGTTCCTCACTAAGACAAGAAACAGCACAAACCCTTTCAAACATTTACTGCTTTCAGGCGTTTCCTACAGTTCCCTCCTCTCCCCCGTTCTCTCCTACTTCCTGTGGCACCAGAATAGATCCTCTTTGTGGAAGCGCTCTTCCTCTCCGCTCTTGTTGCTGGAAGAGGCCAGAACAGTCACAGACCCGTTCCTGCCGGGGCTGTGGATTGTGTGAGGGGAGGAAGTGGCCGAGCTCCCAGCAGCCGTGGCAGGGACCTGCTGAGCGTGCCCTTGGCCCGAGGGGGTGGCAGGATGTCTGCTCTTTGTGCCCCCACACGGCCAGGCAGGGACCACGGTTCACTTGTGTTTCCTTTGCTGCGTCCCTAAGGGCTGGCCTCTGCTCCCTGGCCACGCTGCTCCCCCTTGCCCAGAGCTGCTTCACGTCCTGCCAGCCTTCTCCTTCTGAAGGCATCTGTCTTCTCGGCAGGGCTGAGCTGGGAATGGGGTCTCCTGGTCCCAAGGCACTGACCTGGCTTCTGGATGATCTCCCTCAGCATAGGGAAGGAGAGGAAAAGGATGAAGGAGAGGAGAGTGGTCGCTTCTCCTCCCTCCCCAGGATGTGGCAGTTTTAACTTGGACACAGGGGCTTGGAGCAACCTGCTCTAGTGGAATGGGTCCCTGGCCATAGCAGGGGGTGGGAACTGGATGAGCTTTAGGTTCCCTTCCAACCCAAACCATTCCGTGATTCCACAACTCTCCTTTCAATTTCACTTCTCTCCTTTATTTTCCATTTTCAACCTCTGTAGCAATGCTCCCCTGTGGCCGTTCCTGCTTCTCCTCCCACTGAGCAGCATCCTTTGGTTGGGGCATCCTGGTGTAGGCGCTGCAGGGTAAGGATTTGAGGGGAAGAGGTTTGAGGCCCACAGGCTGTGGCCCTCTCCTGCTATCACAGCCTAAGCCAGGAGCAGCAGTACTCTGGGTGTTGCACTGCTCATGGAGCCCTTTCCCCTGCAGGACCCAGATCCTGGCTTTCTGTTTTCTTCGCTCTCTGGAAGTCAGTGAGTTCCTTCCTGCAGCTCTTGAGCTTCAGGACTCGCGTGTGGGCATCTCCGCCTTGCTTTGAAAAGCTGAGAAGTTTTAAACAGCTCCTTGGAAACCTCTCTGGCTGTAAACAGGTCGGGCACCTCTGTTCTCAGCCAGACCTGATCTCATGGTCTTCTAATGTGGAAATACAAGGGAGTGAGGTTTTGCAGCTGGACTCCTGTCTGCCACATGCGTTTCCCCATCCTCGCATCCTGCCTGCTTGCTTTGAGCCTCTCTGGTACAGGAGTTGCCTTTTCAACAGCTTCCAGCATCTGAAACTTCCATTTGTAAATCCTCACGTTCAAACACAAACCTCAGCCAAAAGCTCCTGGTTTTCTCTTTTAGGCCTCTTAATTTTCCCTCCTCTCCCTTGTGTTGATGTGTGTAATTGCACCAAGCTTGGACCTGTTCGGAGACCCTGTTTGCATGAAGAAAGCTGTACAGAGCACTCCTGGTTGTGTCACTGTGCTAACCAAAGCTCTACTCGTTGTGCAGATTATCCTGTGGATTGGCCTGGGAATACTGGTTATTAGTACCTACACCACCTTGTCTGCCACGGAGGACCCCCCTGTGAAGACAGAGGCCATGGGCTTGGAGCACCTCGATGGAGAGGAGAATGGAATAGACCAGGATTTGGTCAAAATCCCAGGTATGTGTCTGCTTGAGTTGTGCTTCCTAGCCCTGCTCCCAGCTCCACCTCTTCAATTTAGATATATGTATTATATATATATATATGTATCTCCACATATATAAAAGCTTGTGATGGGAGCAGGGTCAATTCCAGCAGCTCCATGCATCTTCACAGCATCCTGGGGACTTTTCCCAAGCACGGCTGCAGTTCTGCCTTCTGAGAAAGCCTGGAACCTTCTGGGAGAGCTCCCATGGTACCTGTGGGAGCTGTTCTTTAGGGAAGGGAAAGGTGGGTGCAGGGGCTGGGGTCCCCAGCATGGGCGAGCATCGATCTCCCTGCTGGGGGTAATAATTCAGATTTTAGGCAGAAGCTCTTCCCTGTGAGGGTGCTGAGGCGCTGGCACAGGGTGCCCAGAGAAGCTGTGGCTGCCCCATCCCTGGCAGTGCTCAAGGCCAGGTTGGACACAGGGGCTTGGAGCAAGCTGCTCTATGGAAGGGGTCCCTGCCCATGGCAGGGGTTGGAGCTGGAGGAGCTTTAAGGTCTCTTCCAACCCAAGCCATTCCCTGGTTCTGTTCTGAGCGGCCACCAGGGCTGCTTTCCCCCTTCCTGCCAGCGCGTTCTGCCCCATTCCAATCACAGCCACTCACTTTGCTCAGGGGTATGTAAATTTATGGGAAGTGCCTGTTGTTTTTGGTGCTGAGGATATAAAATTTGGACAGGGTTTGAGCTCTGACAAAGGCTGTGATTGCGCCTCAGCTCTCTTTACTGGTCCAGGTTATTTATTGTTTGTTTGCTGGGAGCATTGATGGAATTACGGCTGATCCCTCCCTTGCCCAGCTGCAGGCTCCCAGCGAGGCCACTGCTGGCAGGTGTCTCCTGACCCCTCTCTCCCCTCGCACAGGGCTCTCTCCTGCTCCTTTAGTTCATTGTTCTTCGGGTCTGCTCCTGCTTTGCTTTTGCTGGTTTTGTTCTTTGGGGGCCTTGAAATATCCTCGCAGTGATTGCGAACGGAAGGGAGAAAGGGGCCGTCTCTCCTGGAGATTATCCTCCCTCCTGCTCGCTGGCTGTGCTCCTGCCGAGCAGCTTTGAGTGTCTCCGAGACACCGGTGCTGCCGCCGATAACATTCACTCCTGGGCTGCTCCATCCCTGGCGGTGCAGGGGCTTTTATGCCTTGGTGCTCACGGTTTACACAAGGCGTGCACGTCTTCTGAGGCACTGGGATGCCCGTGAACTCTGGAGCAAAAGATGCTCTCAATCCTTTAATCAAGCACACTCAGCAGGGCCGGGAGGAGGGATGCAATTGAATTCTTCCATCTTGGTTAATTTTGGAGCAGTAATGGCCAAAGAACAGCTGCTTGTTTCAGGAGGGGTCGCTAATGGCACGTGTTCGTGTGGCTGGGAGGATAAAAGGAGGCCCACAAAGGATGGTGACCGCTGGAGGTTGCTAAATCTCTTCTCCCTGTGAGCCAGGTTGGCAGAGCAGGATGCCAATGTCTACTCATCGCGTGGTACAGCACCCCCGCCGTACCCACCGTGTGTGCCTGGAGCTCCTCAGCATTACCCTTATTGCCTGGGACTTGCTGCTGGATGAAGGGAGGAAGGTGGTTTTAGTGCTCTTGGGCTGTAAACTTCCCAGGGAGGAACTGTGCAGCTCCTTACACACCAAGTGCTGCCTTTTGAGTGTGATGTAGTGCCTTTTGTAGCTGGGGGCTGCTGGCTCTGCACTGAGTGCCTTGTCCCCTAAGAAGAGGGAGCAGGATGGTGCAGGGGGTGATAGAGTCAGGCAGAGAATGGGGGACAAGGACCTCCTAAAATGAGTCCATAGTAGGCCATGGGGATGCTGTGAGGGCTGGAGCAGCTCTGCTCTGGAGCCAGGCTGAGAGAGCTGGGCTGGGTCAGCCTGGAGAAGAGAAGGCTCCTGAAGGGGAGACCTGAGAGCAGCTCCAGTGCCTAAAGGGGCTACAAGAAACCTGGAGGAGGGGCTTTGGACAAGGGATGTAGGGCCAGGCCAAGGGGAATGGCTTGAGCCTGCCAGAGGGCAGACTGAGATGAGCTCTTAGGCAGAAGCTCTTCCCTGTGAGGGTGCTGAGGCACTGGCACAGGGTGCCCAGAGAAGCTGTGGCTGCCCCATCCCTGGCAGTGCTCAAGGCCAGGTTGGACACAGGGGCTTGGAGCAAGCTGCTCTATGGAAGGGGTCCCTGCCCGTGGCAGGGGTTGGAGCTGGAGGAGCTTTAAGATCCCTTCCAGCCCAAACCAGGCTGGGATTCTACGGCTTTGCAGGGCAGTAGACGTGGGGCTGCCCCGTGCCTTGGACCGGTGCCTCCCTGTGCCTCTGCAGGATGTCGGCCTGACTAGCAATGAGAGGCGTTAAATGGTGCCCTTCTTCCCGCTCCACTGCTCCCCCCTCATCCTCACTGGCTTGTTTTGCCGAGGCAGGAGCCTGCAGCCTGGAAAACACGGCAGCAGCTGCATCCTGCCATTGAGGGCGTGCAGGATGCGCCTGCCCCGCATCACCTGGGTGCCCTCATGCCGGCACATCTGGGTCGCATCCCTCACATGGGGCTCCACCAGCAGCACATGGAGTCTCCCGTGGTGCCTCCATGCCCCTTCCCGGGCGGCTGGAGCCTCTGTGCCCATTCCCCCCCGGGCCAAGGCAGAGCCGGGGGCTGCGCGGGGCCTTTTCCCAGCGCTGCCTTCCCCGTCTGACTTCGGCCTGTCAGCATGTGAGAGGAGTTTTATTGGCCTCTTTGATGTTGCGGAGACCAGAACTGTACAGACTTTCATTAAAACCCTACCCTGTGGGCCCTGGGATTATGAATATTAGAACATTGCCCTTTTATGTGAACACGTATTGACCAGCAAACTCGGAGCAGTGTTTTTACTAACGACACCCAAGTGCCCATTACAGCCCCTGCTTGTATTGCTTGAGGTTTACTGTCAGCAGCTCTTCGGGAAAGGTATAAAACCCCTTTCAGAGGGGCTCTGCCGCTCCGTGCCGCGTGTGCGCCTGTGTTAAAAGGTTGCTAAGCTGCCTGTGAAAGCTCATGAAGGCAATTATCCATTTAAAAAAAAGAAGGGAAGAAGCTAATGAGGCAATTCCTCTGTTTGAAAGCACCCCCCGGGGCCCGGGGGCTGCATTCAGATTTTGTAATATTTTTCAGCTCCTTACTCCATCGTTGCCGCTGCATTTTCTTGCTCTGGTGTTGTGCAACGTTGGGTAACAAAGACCCGATTCACTCGCCTTATGCAAGAGTGCCTTTGCCCTGTGCTCCAAGGAGCCCATGGGCTGGGGACCCTGCTCCAGCCCTTCCGAGGGATGCGGGGCTCTGTGTTCCATGGGCTGGCTCCTGGTGCTGAGGGCTCCTCCATCCCTGCCCTGTGTCTGCTGCGGGTTTGCCCCCCAAAAAGAGCCCTGCCTGGCTGCAGGCTGCGTCCCGCCGGCGCCGTGAGCCAGAGCAGCCCCCGGCGTGTGTGAGCCGTGGGCTCTGCACCGCTCCTGGAGCTGCAGGAGCAGCTTGACTCCGCTGCAGCTCTCCCTGGTGCTTTGTGCGAGCAAGCTTTTAATAGTGCCTGTGACACAGAAAGGAACTCTCAGCCTCTTGTAATTTGGGTTCGTTTTTACTGCGGGTGCGTCAGGAGACAACTGTGAACTAATTTCAGTCATGCCATTCGATAACCTTGTGAAATCTGTAACCGGTTCAGGGGGAACGGGGGGGGCTCCTGGCAGCGCAGCTGGGCCGGGGGGGGGCTGCTTGGGGCTCCCCAGGGATGGCTCGTCCCTGCCCCACTCGGCATGGTCAGGGGCAGCCTTTGCCCTCTTCCCTCTTGCCCTGCTTGTTCTGCTTCGTTTTCCTTAGCTCATGGACCTCGCTCGGTTTCACTGTGCTGAGCGGGACCAGCACCAGCAGGTCCTGAGCCCTGCGTCCCTCATCAGCCTCAGATGATGCTTGGCCATCACTCAGCATCATGGAGCTTCCCATGTATCCCTGAGGCTCCCCAGGTCCCTTTGCCAGGCCCCCCTCAGCTCAGGCCTTGCACAGTGGGTCCATCTCACCACCTCTGCGTGCAGACACCGCTTTTGGCCACGGCCATTGCCGCGATGGATGACAGCGGTAGGAAAGCTGTGTGCGAGGAGGGGTTGAACGCCTGCCTGGGACCACTGCTCCTACCAGAACCAGGAGCAGGGGAGGAAGGGAAGCTTTTAGGCTGCTGATCACAATTTTATTGCAGCCCGGAGAGGCTGCTGGCGAACCACAGCACATGGGCAAGCACAAAGCCCCGGCTCCCCTCGGCCGCGCAGCACCGCGAGCACCAGGGCAGAGCGAAGCCTCCTGGTGCTGCCCAGCGCCCAGGGCCTGCAGTTGGGAGCCAGAAAGCTTTAACAGCCTCTCAGGCCTCTGCCTGTAAAGTCCAACGCCGCTCATAAAACATTAAGAGGCGCAGCATTACTGGAACGCTCTCCAAAGGGACCTGGAGGGCGATGAGACAGTTTAGAGCGATTATTACACATCCTGAGCAAAACCGTTCCCTGCAAACCACATCGAGCCCCTTATAGATTTCCATGCAGCGTGAGAGGTCGTTAATTCACGCCCTGATGATGAACTTAATTTTGTTTCCTGCTGAGCAAATGATGGCTTCGAGGCAACTTTGTCTTATTATGGCGTGGAGATTTGTGCTCTTGTCTGTGTTTGTTTTGGTCTTCCCCTTCGCATTGTTCGCAGGAATGGGGAACATGCAGCTGCCTCTTGATTTACAACTGGTGCTTCTCCCAGCAGCAGGGCCTCCCCCAGCCCCTCAGGGTGTCTTGGGCCCATGGATGGGGTTCACCTGCTGCAGGGTCTCCTGGTCAAACCCTGCCATGTGCACGAGGGTAATTCTGGCTTTAACTCCTCCATTTCCCACTTGTCTAGGAAGCTTCCCTTTAATTTCCCCTCTTGAACGCTACAGTCATGGGATGGTTTGGGTTGGACCTTAAAGCTCGTCCAGTTTGCAGCAGGGACACCTTCACTTGCTCAGGTTGCTCAGTCTCCCTTTGGGTCATTGCTCCCTTCTGCATTAGGAATGAGCGTCTGCCTGTGCTGCGGTTCTCCGGATCCCTGGCTTCCAGCAGCGCCGGGATGGGCTCCAGGCGCAGCCATCTCCCGGCTTCATGAACCAATTAACACAGAACTTTCCTCCAATAGAGTAAATAATGTTTCCTTGCAGAGAGGCCAGGATTTAGCTGGGAACATCCGCAGCCGGGCCCAGCGCTCCCCTCCCCGGCCTCAGCCTCCTGCTTCCCAGGGCCCCCGTCCAGGGCTGGGCACGGGTTCCTGCAGGCTGCTTTTTCCTGAAAGGAGGAGCGTCCTGCCCTGCCTTGCTGAACCCTGGGAAGTCCCTCAATGGAGAGAAGGGACCCTTGGGTACCAGACTCAGAGTTCTCAGAACATCCAAGCCCTTTTCTCCTCCCACCGACATTCCCAAACCCAAATCCCTTCAGCAGGGTGTGGAGCTCCAGGTTTCTGGAGAGGCGCTGGGTCCTTCTGGCACGGATCCCTCCGGGCCAGGATCTTGTACTGGGGTTGTTCTGGGTCCCCCCCCCCCCCCCGTGCTGGGGTAAGGCCCACGCAGCTCAAGTTGTGGCAATCTCCTCTTTCCCATGAGTTCATCTCGTCATAAATCGCACCAGCCCTGCGGAGGGGGAGGAGGAGATTGAAAGATGTTTATGGAATTAATTCCCCAAAGGAAATCGCCTGGGGGAGGGCGGATGGGGGGGAAGAGTTGGGAATTTTTTGGTTACAGAAGGAGAGGTTTTTGTTGTTGTTGTTGTTGTTTTTCGGAGTTTGTTGGACGGAAAAAAAGTCTGCAGAACAGCTTCAGTGCTGGGAAACAACCAGGTCTCCTCCTCTAAGGAAGAGTTCACTCCCTGTGTGCGCTGCGTGGGTTGTCCTCTGCCAGCCTTGGGTTGGAAGGGGCCCTTCCCAGCCCATGGGACATGCCAGGGATTCCACGTGGTTCCTCCAGCGCTAAACTCAGTACCTGGTTTGACTGGGATGTGTCTTTCAGAAACATCCCATCTCCGAGGGAGATGGGGAGGGTCCCCTGCATCCCTCAGGAGTTTCCCCTAACGCCTCTTTAAGCCCATTCCTCAACACGGGGTCCTGCAGCTCTCCTCCCACCCGCTGTCCTCTGAGCGGCGTTCAGAGGGCTGGGAAACACTGATGGGCAAAAAGAAAAAAAAGGAGATCAAAGTAGAAATAAGAGCGGGTTTGAGCCGCTTTGCAGCTCGATGGGGACCGCGGCTCGGTGCCGGCGGTGCTCGGGGGTCCGGCCAGCCGGGAGGATGCTACCATCTGGCGGCAGCGGCAGCCGCCTGCATCCCGGCCCCCGGCTTCCACCCCAGCAGCTCCATAAAGCCCAGCGCAGGGAGGACAAACAAACCCCGAACAAAAGCCCCGGCCCTTCCCTGGCAACGCTGGAGGGACACGGGCAGCTCGGCTTGTGCCGGTGGAGGGGCTGCAGCAGACAAAGGGACTGCTCGATGCAGCCGTGTGTAACCACGTGCAATGAACTGTCCTGCAGAGCAGAACCCGGCCGTGGAGGAGGCAGAGGATGACCGTGATAAACCCAAGCTGCTGGATGAGAAGGAGGAGATGGAGCAGCCACAAATCAAGGTGCCCATGCAGGTACCCAAGAGAGAGGAGGAGGAGAGAGGAAAGCTGGAGGAGAAAGTGCAGCTTGACCGTCCCGATCAAGGTAAGGGGGAGCCTGGGGAAGGGGTGCCAGCTTTGGTCTGGGTTGTACAGCTATTTCAGATAAAGATCCTGATCTCTCCTCATCGCCTGGTGGACTAAAGGTGATTTAGTATTTGATGCTCTTGAGTCTCATTAGGAATGCAGCCTCTTGAGGAGGAAGGGTGGATAAAGGATGCTGGCTGTACTGTGAATCTGCTGCCTCTCACTGTCTCCCATGGGTCCCAAGCCCCCTAACCCTGCCTGTCTCCCGCTCTAGGGATTGCCCTGCCTGTGGGGGAAGCCCATCGCCACGAGCCGCCCATCCCACACGATGAAGTGGTTGTGGACATGGGGCGGGAGCGGGAGGAATCCGACGAGAACAAGCCTGTGCCCGGAGGAGGCAGCGACCGTGGGGCTCAGCCGGCGCTGGAGGAGGCAGTGGGGCTGAGTCCCCGGAAAGGAGCACTCGGCCTGAGCCAAGGGAGGGAAGCGATTGCTGGGAACCAGCTGCGGGGAGGGACTCGGGAGCCCGCTCAGAATCCAAGGAACGTCCTGGAGGTGATGGCGCAGGGTGGCAGGCTGCCATACAAAGAGCTGGAGCCAGACAAACAAGTGCTGGAAGCCAAGGCGCAAGCTGCCGCGCCGGACGGTGAGAAGAAAGCTGAGGCTGCAGGTGACAGGGAGAAAGCAAAGCTCCAGCTCCCCAGGAAAGCAGAGGAGGCTGCGAAGCCCATGGAGAAGGAAACAGACCCCAGTAAGCGCTCTCCACAAACTCCTCTTGGTCTGTAACCCCCCTCCGGAGACCGGGCAGCGTTGTTATTGCTGCCTCCATCCCGGTGCTCCCTTCTGATTTCAATAGATTAGCATGTGAGCTGCGCAGCCCCGCCAGCGTCTGCCGGGGGAGAGGAGGGATCTGGCAGCTTTGACAGCTCCTGTGTTATCTGTCACAGTTGTTTGCTAGCCCAGGCAGTGTCAGGTGCCAGGCTGCTCCCGCGCCCTCCCCTCTCGCTGGGGACACCCAGCTGGGAGATCTTGACAGGTAACACATTGCTGAGTGCCCGGCTAAAAGCTATTCAGAACCGTGCTTGCATTTGAATTGGCTGAGGTGGCTGGTGCTGGCGCCCTGCCACCGCTCCGCTGCGTTGTTAGAGAGGTTTTATTACTTCCCGTGCAGTTGTGGGGTTGAATGTAAACCCTGCGGGCTCGGGCAGGGAGGGACACCGGGATGCGGAGTCGCTTGAGGGAACATCTGCTGCTGGAGTGTCCTTACTGACAGCAGAGGTCTGTTGGTCTGCAGGTGAGAAGCAGGAGCTGCCCCTTCCGGACAGAGCAGATCAGCTGGAGCCAAAGGAGGTCCGAAACACGGAGGAGAAGCAACAGGAGAACGTGGAGAGCAAGCTGGAGGGTGAGTGTGAGCCTGGGGCGTGCAGGGAGGGAAGGCGCTGGAGCCAGGGCTGGGAGAGCAGGATTCAGGGCTCCTCTCCGCAGCACGGTGCCAGCCGGCACTGCTCTTGGCTCTGCCAGCGCATAGCTTCGGGCTGCAGTCACCTCCTGCGTGGCATCCGGCGGGATGTGTCCCGTGGGGCAGCCCCTGAGTCACGCTGGCTCCAGGGCCCGGCTGCTCCCGGCTTCAGCGGCATGAGTGAGACTGGAATGAAGCTGTTTGGCTGGTGTGAAGTGGAGGGAGCTGGCAGCACAGTGGGGAGTGGGCTGAGCATCACCCCACAGGCGCAGGCTGTAGCATGTGGGCCAGGCTCTGCTCCTGGGGGGCATGTCCTGATCTTCTCCTTTTATGGTGGTTACCTCTTGGGTTTCCACTACTTCCCTTTCTGTTCTGTATTGCAGTGGGACATTAAAAACTGAGTGTAAGAAGCTAGTGGCGATAGGGACTCCAAGGACTCATCATGTTTTGAGGGGGCTGAAGGCACCTGAGTTCCTGTGGGGTTTTCCATCTCGGTCTGTGTGGGGCTTGCTGGGGATGCTCTCCCATGAAGGACATGCCCTGAGCCTCTTTTCCTCTACTCCATGCTAAGCTTTGTACCCAGAGGCTGGGAATGGTGGGAAGGTGTCACAGGAGCAAGGCAGAGGGCACATTGCTCCGTGGGTGCTCTGCAGACAGCTACCCCAGTGGGGCCACTGTTGCTGTGGCTGCCCTGGGCCGCAGGAGCTCAGGTACTTAAGAGTTTATAATGGGTTCAGATGGGTTGGATGAGGAGTGCCCATTCCCATCCAGGCAGGGCGCTGGCTGAGGCCCGTTTTCCCAGGATCAAAGGAGGAGGCAGGAGAGAGCATCACCTCTTGTCTGTGGGGAAGAGGTGTGCTGCCCGAGCGCAGGAGGTACACGTGTCTGCAGAGCTCTTGGCAGCAACGCTTTGACTCAGGGATTAAACCTTTTCCTGCTGGGTGTTCAACCCAACCATTCCCATGCTGAGCCGGGCCTGGCAGGCTCCGGGAGCAGGATAGCAGGAATGCCTTCTGTTTGCCTTGTTTACCCTGAGCAAAGTGCAGACAATAAACACATCTCCAGAAGTCAATTGCTCTCTTGAAGTGACCAAATTCCCCTCGAAACCCAACAGAGCGGAGAGGGGATTCCAGGGGCCCTGGTGTGGGCTGGAAATACTTCTTTGTAATCACTTTGGGGGTGATCAGTGGGATAGGGAGAGGCAACAGGTGCTGGAGAAGTACGGGCCTGCACAGCATTGCTTTTTGATTTAAATGGCATTTTAGAGGCTGTTAATTTGATAGGATTCCCAACCTAGAAACGCCTTGGGTTCAGGAGGAAAGCTGGGCTGGGAGGCAAGCGACAGCTCCGGATCCCATCCCATCCCATCCCATCCCATCGCCTGGGTGTGTGTCCAGGCGGAGCGCAGGCAGCAGCGCTTCCCTGCGGACCGGGGACTCACAGCCTGTGGGTGATGTGCTCCTTAAATCACCGTGAGTCACTTGTGCTCAGCCCCGAATGCTCTTGTCTGCCCCGTGTGGCTCCGCTGGGATGGCGATCCGGGACTTCCTCCCCTTGTGTGGCACAGGCAGCGTGGTTTGACTGTGGCATGGGCTCGGTGGGGCTGCCTTCGTGTGGATTCAACCAGCCTGAGCACGGGCACCGCATCCTTCCCTCCCTCCTGGGCCCATCCTGCCCTTGCCCTCTGCTGACACTGAGAGGTGACTGCAGAGGGGTTTGGGTCGGGATGTTTGCTTTATGTCTTTTTCCCCTCCTTTTCTAGACGCTGGGCAGGCGAAGCTGCTTGACCACGCTGTGCTCCTGCAGGTGATCAAAGAACAGCAGGTACAGCACAAGCAGCTGCTTGACCACCAGGCAAAGCTGCTGGCTGTGATTGAGGAGCAGCACAAGGAGATCCACCAGCAAAGGCAGGAGGAGGGAGGAGAGGAGAAGCCAAAGCAAGGTGAGGACATTGTCAAAGAACACAACCCCTCCATGGGTGGATCCCTGCTCAAAGCAGCTGTAACATCATAGAATCCCAGCCTGGTTTGTGTTGAAGGGAGCTTAAAGCTCCTCCAGCTCCAACTGCTGCCATGGGCAGGGACCTCTTCCACTGGAGCAGCTTGCTCCAAGCCCCTGTGTCCAACCTGGCCTTGAGCACTGCCAGGGATGGGGCAGCCACAGCTTCTCTGGGCACCCTGTGCCAGCGCCTCAGCACCCTCACAGGGAAGAGCTTCTGCCTAAGAGCTCATCTCAGTCTGCCCTCTGGCAGGTTAAAGCCATTCCCCTTGGCCTGTCCCTACAGGCCCTTGTCCAAAGCCCCTCTCCAGCTTTCTTGTAGGCAAGCTGACCAAGAGAAATCCCAATCCCTTTGGCACATGGCAGAGTCATGCAAAAGCCACTCCTGTGCCTGTGGTGGGGTTCCCAACCCCTCTGCACACTTCCCCCCCGCTCCCCTCCTCCTCCCACATGGCCATTGATGGTGTGACCTCTTCTCCTGCCCCGTTGTGGCAGGAGACGGGAATCTCACACTGGGGAGATAAAGCTCTGACGTGTCCTTTCATTCCGCAGCGGAGGCACAGCAGGAGCCCGCTGTGCCCCTCTCCAGGAGCAGGGAGGACGAGGGCCTCGGGGTCAAGCAGGAACCTGCTGCAAAGGTGCTGAGCAAGAAGCTGCCGGAGCAGCCAGCGCTGGGCCCGGCCAGGGAGCCTGACTCCACTGAGCAGCGCAGGGGGACTGCAGGGAAGCAGGAGGAGGCTGGGAGGAGCCGTGACATTCCAGAGGTCCCTCCCAAGGAGCGGAAGGTGCTGCCTCAGGAGGACAGAGGTGCTAAAAATCCCATGGAGAACAGGGATGCCCTGCACAAGGACGTCCAACACGTTCCAGCAGCCAGAAGCCACCCAGAAAAGAAGTCGTTGGTGGAGGGTCTGGGAGGAGAACACGAAGCCAAAGCTGCAAGAGACATCCACAGCAAGAATAATTCCCTGAAAGCCGTGGAAGTAGCGACAGCTCCCATCCAAAGAGAACAGCTCGGGGCTGCCAGAGTTCAGGGAGCAGCAGGAAAGAGTCTGGAAGGAGACTCAGGAAGAGACCTTAGAGCCAAAGCACTGAGTCAGGTGGAGCCCAAGGACCTGGCAGTTGTGCTGGACTCCTCCAGCAAGAGGAATGTGGCAGAGAGCGAGCAGCACCTACGGGAACATCCGAGAGCTGCACGCACTGAGGGAGCTGAGGGCGGTGGCAGGCGGCAGCAGGACCCAGCTGGCAAAGGGGACACGAAGGAAGAAGCTCCTCGGGATAACGTGGTGGATGTGGCCCAGGACCCGCAGGATGGGCTGCGGAGCAAGCAGAGGCACGGGGATGGAGGAGGCTCAAACGATGGGGAGAAGAAACCAGCCCTTGAGAACGCTCCCGCCCCAAAGGCAGAGCAAGGAGCTGCCCAGGGGGAGCAGAGGCTGGACCACGACATCAAACCCAACCGGGACCTGAAGCTGCAGGCGGACCTGGACCTGCGGCGGCGGAGGCGGGAGCTGCTGCCTCCCGAGGAGGAGGAGGACGGGGAGGCTGCGCGGGGCGCCGGGGTCTTGATCGGCCTGAACCCGCTGCCCGATGTGAAGGTGAACGACCTGCGGAGCGCGCTGGAGACGCGGCTGCACGTGGAGGGGGCTCCGCAGGTCCTGCACAGCCGCCAGATCAGGCAGGTGCCGGGGCCGGACACTGCGTGAGGGGGGGGCTCAAGGGGACCGGATGGGGTTTGGTCTCTTTGCTGGATGCAGCCCATGGGGTCTCCTCGGAGCTGGGAGCACGGGGGCTTCTTGGTGGCACCTCCCTGTGTGTTCCTGCGGGCAGCTGAGGAGGTGGCAGCCGTGAAAGCAAAGCTGCTCTCTGCTGCCTTTCAGAGGCTGCTGTCCGCCTCGGTTCCCTGCCAGCCCTCAAGGACCTTCTCAGCATCTCCTCCATATCGAATTGCCTTCTCCGTCCAGCTCCCAACTCCCCTTTCATTACCGAGGTGGCATCCATGAGGTTCCCCTGCCTGCTTGGGCTCTGTCACCGAGGCTGTGGGGCAGAGTGCAGGGGCTGCCGGAGGAGGGGAACCAGGGGATTGCTCCTCCTGGGGACAGAGAAGCACCAAGCCCCAAGGTGAGGACCAGCTCAGCCAATTGCCTTGGTGTTTCTCCTCAAACGGGAGCTGTTAATCCTGCATGTGTAGGACATAGTTGTGGTTTAGGAACCCGGTTTAGTAGGAACGCTGCCTTAAATGGGCACAACCACTGCTGTTGTGCTGCCTGTTCTCCCAGGGACTCGGTTGGGGGCCACACACTAGCAATAACCCGGAGCTTTGCTCTCCCCCGTCCCCAGATGCTCAACTCTGCTCTCAAGCTTGACTTCTCCTGTCCAAAGTGCATTAGGAAGCTCAGCCCGGGGGCTGCACATTCCTGCTCCCCCTTCCTTTTTCTGCAAGAAATGACTCATTTGGGAACAAATGGTTTGGAAGGGCAGCCACGGGGCTCAGCTCAAGCCTACCTACCTCTTCTCTCTGCAGCACAGTGTGTTTTGTGCATTCTTCCAGCCCCTCCCCTGTGTTTACCATCCATGGATGTCAGTGCTCTGCCCCTGGAAATGTGTTTGAGGAGCCAGGAAGGGAAGAGCTGCTCTGGGAGCCCCGGTTGGGTTCAGGCTCACAGCACTTCATCCCTTTGGTGGGGGGGGGTTTGTTTGGTTTGTTTTCACATCCTGACTTGTGAATGTAAGAGATCAAATCCCAAAGCTCTCCCCGGAACGGCTGAAACTTCCCAGCCTGGAGCCTACAGACCTCATCACTGTGCTGGTTTTTATAGCTGCATCTCAAAGTGTCCTGGGTCCGGTCGCCTCGATGCGTTTGCGTCCCATGGGAGCGCACGGAGCCGGGATGGGTGGTTATGGACGCACGGCACTCGGGAATGCCGCTGCCACGTGCCTGTTGCTGGAAGGATCTTGTCTTAATTTCCCATTAAAACAACACGGAGCCACAGGGCAACAGCCACAGAATGGGGGGGGTGGCCCTCCCCAGCTGCTTCCCAGTGACTCTCGTGGCCTTAACCCTCAGGGCTGTCCCCGTGGTACAAAGTTGCTCCTCCATGACGCTGGCCCAAAGCACAAGCAACGCAGCCGGCATCCAGTGCCGCTCCATGGGGAGCTGGATCCGGATCGGCCCCTTCTTACGTGTGGGCAGGGTGAGGGTCACCCCTGCCCGTGTGTGTTGGCGTGAAGCCTCTGCGTGCACACAAAGGACCAAAGATGCTCCCGACATTCCCATGGGCATCCCAAGCCGGGCGGGAAGGCAGCGGGAGCTACCAGGACCGGCTTGTATGGGATGGAATGCTGGGGGGGTGGAGGGAGGCTGAGCCAGTAATAATAAAATCAGCTGAAGCATTTTGATTTACATTCTCTTATTAAATAGAAACCAGCGGCTGCAGCCGCAGGCCGGGTTTATGCTTTGAGGACGTTTCGCTGTTGAGAGAAGCAGGAGCTCCCCCGGAGCCGGAAACGGGGCTGGACCACGGGATGGAGAGCGAGGAGAGGCCGAAGGGGCTCCGGGAAGCGGCAGCTCCCGCCCGGGTCTCGGTCCCCTCCGGCAGCTCCGGTGCCGGACGCCCCGGGCCGGGTTTGTCTCCGGTGCGCGGCTGGGGGGGCGCCGGGGCCGGCACCGCCTCACTTCGGCGTCGCCTTCGCCTGCAAAGAGCCGCGGTTCAGAGCGGGCCGAGGCCCCGCAGCGGGACCGGGACGGGTCGGGACCCACCGCCCGCGCGAAGCAGTCCCGCAGCGCCCGGAACTCCTCCAGACACGAGTCCCGCCGCAGCTCCGCCGGCCCCGCCGCCGCCGCCGCCACGCACCGCCCGTAGGCAGCTGCCTGCAGGGAACGACACGGAGCGGCTCCCACCGAGCCCCCCTCACCGTGACCGGTCCCGGTCCCCCCGCCCCGCCGCGGCCCCACCTGCTCCCCGCAGCCCGACAGCAGCGCCGGGAAGCGCCGCAGCCGCGCCCGCGCCCGCAGCCACACGCCCTGGCCCGACATGGCTGCTGCCGCCTCACGGCCTGGGCGCCGCCATAGTGGTACAGCAGCGATTGGCTGCCTGAACTGCTCGTCACGGCGATGAGCGCTCTGATTGGGAAGCGACGAACGCCCGCCCCTCCGGCTCGCTGATAGGAGAATGGTGCGCCAATCAAAGAGCGCTGGATCTCTGATTGTGTGCTGGAGGAAGGTCGTCCTCTCGCCCTTCTCGGGTTGGACAGATCGGCTCTTCGTAAGCGCGGATTGGCCAAGCGCGGCCCCGCCCCCCGAGCCCCTCCCGATTGGTGCAGGTGCCGGTTGTTTACGTCCTATCTCCCGCCCATCAATCTCCTGAACCACTTCCTCCCGGAGCTCTGCCTTTCCTCGCCGGTGATTGGTCCGAGCCGCAGCTTCTCGCGCTCTCATTGGTGCTGAGCAACCTCGGGGGGGCGGAGCTGCGAGGCCGGGCAGGGACCGGCGGCGGGGCTGTCATGGCGGCGCCGCTGCGGGACCGGTTGAGCTTCCTGAGCCGGGTACGGGCCGGGGCCGGGAGCGGGGAGCAGGGGCAGGCCCGGTCCCGGTCACACCGCCCCTCACCCTGCCGCTTGTCCCGCAGCTGCCGCTGCTGCTCAGGGGCACCGCGGACGACGACGCGCCCTGCCCCGGGTACCTGTTCGAGGAGATCGCCAGTATCCTTCCATGGCCGGGCGGGGGGTCCCGGGAGCGGGGGAGCGGGGGGGCTTAGAGCCGGTGTCAGGCGGGGAAGGGGCCGCGGTGCCAGGCGTGGGGAGCAGGATCCTTCACCGGGCCGCAGAGATCTCGCACGAGTCGGCCGGCAGCAGCCAGTGCCTGCTGGAGTTCCTGCTGGGCCGGCTGCAGAGCGGCTCCTGCCACGTCAAGCTGAAGGTACGGGGGTGCGGAGCCCCGGCGCTGGGTGCTGGGCCCTGCCGGGGCAGCCGTGACCCCCGCTCCGCCCGCAGGTGCTGAAGCTCCTGCTGCACACCTGCGCCCAGGGCTCCCCGCAGTTCCTGCTGCAGCTGAAGGGCAGCGCCTGCTTCATCCGGGAGGCCGCAGGTAACGGGGCCCGGAGGGAGGCTGAGCTCTGGCCGGGGCCGGGGTCCTGCCCCGGGCTTGGAGCCGGGTCACCCCCCCCAGCGCTCCCCGCCTCGGTCCTTGCAGTGTTCACTGGGCCCCCAGACCCCCTGCACGGCAACAGCTTGAACCAGAAGGTCCGTGTGGCCGCGCAGGTGAGCGTCAGCCCCGCTGCCCGGGCTCTGTGCGGGGCTGCAGGGCGGCTCTGCCCCCAGACCCCACGCAGGGCTCCCTGCTGCTCCCCAGCCCTCGCTGCTCTCTCCCGGCAGGACTTGGCCACGCTCCTGTTTTCGGATGCGCCGCTGCCCCCGCCCGCTGCCCCCTCTGCCCGTCCCCTGCCTCCCGCGGGTGAGTGCAGCCCCGCGGCCCTGTCACCGCCATGGGCACGGTCCCTTTGGCTGGAGCTGCGGGTGTGCAGAGGGTCCCCCGGCCAGGGGGGCTGTAGGGGTGAGGACAGGGTGCGGTGAGGGCAGCGTGCTCCAGCCCTGGTGCTGGGCACTTGGCTGCTTCCCCTGCCCCACTGTGGGCCCCCTCATCTGGGGATATCCCATAGCTCTGAGGGAGCAAAGGGGCACTGCCCTGCACCCAGTTCCTCCCCTACACTTCCAAAGGTGGGAGCAGCAGTGGAGGGTGACCCTGTTTGTGCTTTATGGCTCCCCCAGGCATGGGCTCCAGCTCCAGCCCCTGCGGCTCCTTGCAGGGATTTGGCTACAGCACTGAGAGAAGCTCTGGTGAGTCCTGGTGCTGCCCCGTGTGAGTCCCCTGCTCGGTCCCTGCTGCAGCCCTGGGTCCTGCCTGGGCACAGAGCAGGCTCCCAGCATCCGGTGACACCTGCGTGGTTACTGGTTGTCAGTGGGTGTTCATGGGTGGCTCTGCTGTGTCATTCCCTGCTGGGGGGGGGTGTGTGACAGGGTGCTGGGAGGCCGGCCCGTCCCTGGGGCCCATCCCAGTAGCTTCCAGGTTTCCTCACCCTTCCATACCCAGCCACACGTCTGCTCTGTGCCAGGGGTGCTCCTCTCTGCGGGGAGTCCCCACTGTCCCCTGCAGGGTACTGGGTGCCCTGGGGCTCTCCTGGGAATCACCTCAAGGCTTGGCTGTGCCCAGGTTCCCCAGGGGAAGCCCTGCTCAGCACCATCCAGCGCGCGGCCGAGGCTGTGGCCCACGCTGTGCTCCCGTCCCCGGGGGGGCACCGGCCACGCCACGGGGACCTCCACGAGGACACCTACGAGCCCGTGAGAGCCCCGTCACCGCCCCGGAGCCCCGCCACGGCCGGGAAGCCACCAGCAGCCACCGCAGCGCACGGCACCCGGGGTAGGTCCTGGGGGGCTTGGTGGGGAGGGGGGTTCCCTGTGTGGGGCTGTCATCGTGTCCCCGCTGTGTCCCTGCAGTGAGGCACCAGCCGGGGCTGGCCGGAGGAGGCTGGGAGGAGGCAGACAGCGGGCACAGCTCCCAGGACTCCTCGCAGGGCATCGGGGACCTGAGCCGCACCTCGGACTCCTGCAGCAAATCGGGCAGCGACAGCCACTGCGGAGCCAGCCGGGAGCTGAGCCAGGCGGCCGAGAGGTGGGAGCGGGGCCTCGGGGGTCCCCTTCCCCTGGGGCCCTCCGGGGTGCTCCCCTCATCCCCAGGAGCGGTGCCCCCTCGTTTTCCACACCGTTAATCCAGAGGCTCTGGTCTGTTCCTCCTGGGATGTGCAGAGCAAGGGGCAGGGGGGGTGTTGGGGGGGTTCCCAGCCTGCAGGAGGGTGTGTGTGTGGGGGGGTCTGCACTGGAACCCCAGGGCTGGCTCCTGTCCCCACCAAGGCATGTCCTGGTGCAGGGTGGATGCTGACAGCCTGGGTGACTGCGTGCGGGAGGTGAGCCTGGTGTCAGCACTGACCCGCGGAGCCAGGGTCTTCCTCACCAGGGAGGAAGCACAGCACTTCGTCAAGGAGTAAGTGCCCCGAGTGGCCCATGGGTGCTGTGGGGCTTGGTGGGGAGCACTGCGGGGTGCTCACCCCCTTGGCTGCCTTCACATGGACCTTGGGGCTGAAATGCAGGGGCGGGTGGGGCGGGGGGGTCCCAGTGCTGCCGTAACCCCTATCCCATGGCCAGATGCGGGCTGCTGAACTGCGAGGTGGTGCTGGAGCTGCTGAGCCGGGCGCTGCAGGACCCCAGTGACAGCGTCCGCATGGTGAGCGCGGCGCGGCCCCTCTGTGCCCCCCCCACTGCCTGCGGGGTGCCCGGTGCTGCCTGCGGGGTGCCCGGTGCTGCCCGTCCCGGCTCAGCCGCGCTCTCTCCTCCTGCAGAGGTCCATGGCTGCCATCTCCTCCCTCATGTGCTCGGACCTGCTCTCCCTGGACCAGATCTTCACCGTGACGCGGCAGCAGCTGCAGCAGCTCAGCCAGGGCAGCCCCGGCCCTGTCGCCAACCGAGCAACAAAGGTGACTCTTGGGGTGTCCCCATGTCCCCTCCCCAGGGCAGTTTCCAGGCAGTGGCTTTCCCATCCTTGGAGACACCCAGCCCTTGGGAACGGCTCCATGTGTGTGCCAGGGGGGTGGGCATTGTCCCTCTCTCCCAGGAGCAGGGAGCCTGGAGGATGTGATCCTCAAGAGCCAGGTCTGGACCCCAGGGCAGCCCCTAGTGGGAAAGGGCTGGGCTGTGTCCTCCTCCCGATGCCGTTCTCATTCCAACCCCTCCCACTCTTCTCCTTGCAGATCCTGCGGCAGTTCGAGGCTCTCTGCAGGGGCCACCCCTCCCCAAAGGGCACCCACCCGGACTCGGAGCCTTCTGGCCTCCCCCCGGGCTCAGCCCCGTGCCCCGGGGACCTGCTACTGGACATCCCCCCGCTGCCCGGTGAGAGCATCCTCACCCCGCTGAGCGCAGCCCCACTGCCCGGTGCCTGCAGCCAGGAGCCAGGGGTGGAAGCAGAGACCCTTGGGCAGCCCGGTGCCGCGGTGCCAGCCGGTCCCTGCGGGCAGGAGGCGGTGAGCAGGGTGCTGGGGGATGCAGCGGGTGCCCCTGCACTGTCCCGCAGCCTGTCCCTCTTTGCTGGCATGGACCTGGTGGCTCCTCCCGGTGCCGTGCTGCGCCAGGACTCTCCCCTGCCAGAGCCGCAGGCACCGTCCCAGCCCCACATGGACACGGAGGGTGAGCAGCAGCCGTCGGCCTTCGCCTTCCTCAACATGTAGCTGCTGTGGGGCTCCCGGGGGGCTGCGGGGGCTTTGCCCTCCCTCCCTGCGGGGGCTGTTGTGCCATAGCCCTATGGGCTTGGTGGGAAGGGGGCTCGATCCCCCCAGATTCTGCTGTGGCACCCTGGGGAGAAGCAAAGAGCAGCCCCATGTGCCCTGTCCACCGGGACGAGGGAAGGGCGCTGCTGGGGGGACACACGGTGAGCTCTGGCCACCGTGGGCAGGTTGTAACGTTTCTTGAGCTGCTTTTGTTGCCAAAAGCCCCCGTTTTGGGCTGGCAGAGGGGAACGGTGCTGGCACTGGGCTGGAGATGTGCCAGAGCCCACTGGGGCTCACTTGGGGGGGGGCTTTGGGGACCCCAGCACGGCTCTGGGGTGTTCCTGGGTGCCTCCCCCAGCTCCAGCCCGGGCAGCCGTGGGGCTGGGGTGGGAGAAGGCACCGATGCAGTGGGGCCGGGACCCACCAATAAACCCCACACTTGGCTCTGGGAGCTCGTGACTTCTTGCGCCGTTGCTGCAGCCTGACCTGAGCTTCCTTGTGCCCCATGGGGCCCCTGCCCCACAGCTGCCTCTGCCCCATGCAGCAAGGGGCAAGCCGCGTCCCAAGCCCCGCCCTTCTCGCATAAGCTCCGCCCCTCGCCTAATCACATTGGCTCGCTCTTGCTAGGCCACGCTTCCCTCCTTCAGGCCACGCCTCATCGCCCCACCCTCCTCCCGCCCCTTTTTCCTCCTCAGCCTATCCCCACTCTCCTTTTCGCCCCGCCCCTTTCTTCCCATTGGCTGCCTCCTCCCTCCACCGCCCCTCAGTGGCCGGGGCGGGGCGCGTGGCCGCGGCAGGAGCGGGTGCGGGGCCGGGGCCGGGGCCTGCTCTGAGCGGGGGCTCCGGGTACGGCGGGGGCCGGGAGCGGGCGAGCCTCGGGTGCGGCTCCGGCTCCGGCTCCGGGCCCTCCTCCTCCTCCGGGTCCTCTTCGCTGCCTGGAGCCCCTCGGCCGTGGGGCCTCTGCTGTGTGCGGCCGGGGCGCTGGGGGTCGTGGGGGCTGTGGGGGCCTCGGCTTGGGCCTGGATCCTTGGGGTCCCGGGTGCCCGGGGCTGGGCTCTGCGCTGGAGCCCTCTGTGCCGGCGGTTTGCATCGGGAGCCTTTTGTTTACCGGCGTTGCTGGAGCCCGCGGCATTGCCAGGGCCGCCGAGGCGGGGGGGGGACTCCGCTGGCAGCATCCGGAGGGGATGGGGATGGGGACGGGGACGGGGACGGGGACGGCCGCTGGTCGGAGGGGGGCAATGGGGTGAAGCCGTGAGCGTGCTGCGGGCGGAGCTGGGGAGGGCTCGGCTCTCCCTATGGCTGCTTCTGGACGGCTTCGTGCAGAGGCTCGGAGCGTTCGGTGCGGGAAGGAGCCCCCAGGACGATGCTTGCCCAGCATCCCTGCGCGGTGCAGGGCACTGGGGCAGCTGAGCCCGGCCTTAAGCAGGAGAGGATGCTCTGGACTCATCCTCCTGCAGCCGTGCTCTGGATGGAGTGAAGGAGCCCGGGGTGGGCAGCGCGGCTTTTGTCCTTGTACTCATCCTGCTGGCCCAGGGACAGGCGGGTGCGGGGTCAGAGCGGTGCGGAGCTCATCAGGAGCCTCCTCAGGCCTGTGCTCGGGGCTCTCTGGCCAGTGGGAACGCAGAGGGAGGTGTTCTGTCCCCTTTGGAAGCAGTTACGGCAGCGGGGAGCGGGGCTGGGTGCTCGCCCCACACCTTCACTCCTGCCTCTGTGCTTTGCTTCCAGGGCTCCTTCCTCCTGCCGGAGCATGAAGAGCGCTCGCAGCAGCTCCTCCTGCCAGGGCGCTGGTGCTGCCGGCGTGGATCTGAGCCTCACCGGCTTCCCCGCGCCGGTGTCGCGGCGTCCCGGCAGCGCGTCCCCGGCCAAGCCCATGGCGCGCTCCATCTCGGTCACTGCCGACAGCAAAGCCAAGAGGAACGCTCCGGTGAGGCCTTCATCCCCCCGCAGCACGGGCCCCGGCTGCCTCCATGGGTGCTGCTCTGCCTGCCGCTGGGCTGAGCCGGGGCTGGGAGGTGGCAGTGGGGGGGGTCCTGGCTTCCCTTGGAAGCGTGTAGCACATCCGTGTGTTCATGGAGAGCTTTGGGAGGGGAGAACTGGGCTGCTCCAGGCTCCGGGTGCTGCGGTGCTGTGCTCTCCCCAGATCTGGTCACCCTCAACAATAAGCTGCTCGTTGGGTCTCTTCTCAGTGATTTAATGCGTGCAAAAGAGCAAGTAGGGAAGCATCAGGCTTCACTCTTTTCCCTTTGCCTTTCACCTCCCTGCACTGATTTCCTTCTGGGGATTCCCATGTTCCTGGCCTCTTCTGGGGGATGCTGCAGGCTCCCCGCGAGGGAGCGAGGTGGCCTTGCTCTCTGCCTCCGGCTGAGGTTGGGGGTACCAGAGCATCGTGTCGGGGCTGCGCGAAGGGCAGCGCTACCCCAGCGCCGTTTCAGGATGCCCGACTCGCAGCGGGGCTGCTGAGCTCAGCTCTCTCCTCCGCAGGAAGATGCAGGGTCCCGGGCAATGAACAACCTCCGGAGGTCCAACAGCACCACGCAGGTCAACCAGCGGGTGAACAGCGCGCGCAGGTACCGGCGGGTGACCCCGTGCAGGATGAGAGCCTTGTGCAGGATGAGAGCCCCGTCCTGTCGCTGCGTGTCTGCGTGCAGCATTCACTGCAGAACACGTGTTCTCTGTCCCTGGCTTCGTGCTGAAGCTCCGAGCAGGCAGGAGACTTCCTGACCTTCCTCGAGGGCAGTTCTGGGGGCAGAAGGAAAGGGTCGAGCGTGAGCAAAACCTGCCCGGAGAAGAGAACCACGTGGAACATCTTGGTGAGGACGGTGGCTGCAGCAGCTCTGCTCACCTGGGAGCTGCTTTGCTTTGGTTTGGTTTGGTGGAGGAGTGGGAGGGTTTCCCTAGACCCAAGGATAGGGTGGTCCATCCGTGGTGGCCAGGCTGCTCCTTCCTCAGCCTGCACTCAAAGCTGGCACTGTTTGAATGGCCAAAGTGCTCCAGCCTGTGCTGGCCTTGCTCTGCCCCAGGGCCTTTGTCCCATCACCTCCATGCTTCTGGCAGAGGGAGGCAAAGCCTCGAGGCTGCTGTGCTTGGAATGGAGGTTTCTTTCGTGGGGAGAAAGTGGGCTGTGAGGGAGGAAGTGTTTCAGGACATGGGGCTGGTGCTTTCCTGCACTTACCTCCTGCTGGCTGCATGCAGGATGATCAACCACGAGCGTTCCCAGGCCCCTCCGGTGCCCGCAGCATTGAGCCACCAGCAGGCATGAAGAGGAAGGAGGCCACCATGCTCCTGGCAGCCAACTTCACTGCAAACAACAGGTAAGAGAGGGACCCTTCGGGGCCAGGAGACTTGAGCCAAGGCTGTGTGTGAAACAGCCCAAAGAGCTGGCTCTTAGGTCCGCTTGGGCTGTGTCTGTCCGGGCATCAGGTAACGGCTACCAAGCAGTGAGCCCTGGGGAGCCTGCTCCTCACCCTGGGAGATGCCCCAGATGGTCACGGGTGGGTTGGGGGTTACAGTGGAGGGAGCATCCATTGCTAGTGCATGATGTTCCCTTCGGATCCGGCAAGTCTGAACTCCTCTTCTGCTCTCCACAACAGGAGCAACAAGGGCGCGATGGGCAACTGTGTCACCACCATGGTGCACAACAACTACTCCACCACGGAGAAGGGCCCTGCGCCCAAGAGCTCCAACCAGGCACCCAGCTCCCTCAAGTAAGTGCGGTGGGGTCCTGGCTGGGAGGCTGCGCTGTCCCCCCCCGCTCACGTGCAGGTGTGCCGTGGGATGGGGCAGGATGGAGCCAAGTCACTTTGTGTTCTGCCGTAGCAATGTTGTCAAAGCGAGCTCCAACGAGGATGGGGAAAGCAGCTTCGTGAAGTCGCAGAAGAATTTCTCCAGCAACAACATCATGACCCGCAACAACAACAACAGCAGCAGCAGCAGCAGCAGCCTGCCCCGGAGGAAGGAGGTGACCGAGGAGGAGGCAGAGAGGTGAGGCAGAGCCAGCGCGTGGCCTGGGAACAGGCAGGAGGACGGTGCCAGGCAGAGGGCGAGCCCCAGGGGAGCTGGAGCTGGTTTGTTCGTGCCCTGTGGGGCGTCAGGTCCAGGAAGGGTCCCTCTGAGAGCAGATGCAGGGGCTGCTTTCCCCTCCCCATCCCTGCTCGTTGAGCCTTGTCATCCAAGGCACAATTCCTGCCTCCCCCAGGTCAGTCCGTGTTGTTGGGGCAGAAGTCCCGGTGCTGTGGGTGAGCAGCCGCGCTGTGCCGCAGCAGCATGGGTGGCTGATGCCAAGCAGGACGTGGGGCTGTGCTGAGCCTCCTCCTCCCCACAGGTTCATCGAGCAGGTGAACCTGGCCGCTGTCACCATCCAGCGCTGGTACCGGCGCCACTCGCAGCGGCACAGGGCGGCAGCCGCGGCGCTGGGGCGGTTGCTGGCTTCCCAAAGGGAGGTGAGTCCTGTCTGATCCGTACAGCATGGACCCTGCTGACACCCGTGCCCCTCGCCTCACTGCTGGGGACTCTCAGTCCCTCCATCAGAGACCTGAGCCATCCGGATGAGGGGTTTGGCTTTGCCTGTAGCCAGCCCCTCGCAGACCAGAGAGCCAGGGGTGTCCTGTCCCTGCAGAGATGCGCTGGTGCTTTAAGGCACAGCCCGGGTTTGGCTCCATGGGTCGCTCAGGCCGGGCTCAGCATCACACGGCCCCGTTCTGCAGCTCCCGCAGCCACAAGCAGGCGGGTGCTTGGCACCAGCAGCCCAAATGTGCTGAACTCTCGTTGCCTCGGGTGGCCAGAGGAGGGAAGCCCTGTCTGGGCTCATCCCAGTGATCCAGGAACCCGTTGGCTCCTTCGGGAGTGACGCCTCATCCGCAGCTATTTGTGTTTTTTGTGTTTAATTATTTATCCCAATACCGAAAAAGTTCTGTAGCTCTTGCATGTGAGAGTCTATTTTTAGGCCTTGTCTCCTCCATAGTTTCAGACCCAGATGACTAATAATTGCATTTAGTATCTATAGAAAATAAGCTACTCTAAAGCAAAGCTTTCCTGAGGGTTCTTCACCTGCGTGGAGGGGAAGGCTGTGGCGATGGGAAGCCTGGATGTGGGGTGACCTCGGGTGCATCGGGCCCTTCCCCGCTCCTCTGCTGTGGGCGGTGGTAACGGTTTGTG